GTGGAAAATCGAACTTATTAATTTTGATGTCAAACATGTTAAAATAAATTTCGGAAATAGATGCAGTACGCAATTTTTGCAGACACTTTAATTGTATGGAATAATGACGGGGAGTTGTGTCGTGAAGTCCATAAAGAAGGGATAAAAAAGTTGGCCGCTTTCTATTGAACAAAATCTATTAATGATACTTCAGTCTTTTTCATATACTGCACCTTGGTTTAAATGTGTTGGTTGATCACGCGGGAAGCTAGAACTACTAGTAAGCCAAGACAGAAAAAACCTATATAAGGAGCCGAGTGAAAGCTGTTTTAGTATTCATTCTATTTTTACGATGTTCCGTTTTTCAAACAAAAGTATTTTAGTTCGACTTTTTCCAGAAAAGGAGAGCTACACCTACTCATTGTCGTTAATATAAGCTAAACGGGAATGTTCAGATTTATTTTCGTTTCCACTTGTTTCTCCACAACTCTGAAGCTGTTCCACTTAAAACTTCACATATGTGTATGAGGTTGAACGTGAAAGGTCACATCCCAAGTTCCATAACTCTGTCATGTATTTTGACTGAATAGTGTCTCTTTTCGACTTAGAAAGTCAGTGTTTAAGTTTTTGCGCTGTAACTTTTATCTCGTACAACAACAGAAGATATTGACTTGAAGTCACACACCCCAAGATTCATAATCTTCCATTTTGACTGAATTATTTCCCTTGTTCTGCGTTTAGTTTTTCTTGTAACTAGTACAACCACAAAAGATATTAACACATGTGTTCGGGATGAAAATGTTAGAAACATAACATACCAATACCCATACACGATTACCCAACATTTTTCAATTATTAACCTCTGTGTTGAGTTTTTTCTGTAACTTAGTATCTAAAGAAATATTCACATGAAACTCGGTATTATGTGTCTCGTATTTAGGATGTTATAAACACGAAAAAAACAATGCGTTATCCCTATATTGAAAATGAAAAGCAAAACATAAATTAGGAACAATAAAAAGGTTATAGAACAGGTCTGGTGTGCCTAAATGCGATTTATCACATGTTTGACGTCGCGGGAGTGTAATAAAGCCATTACATATTTTCCATATTACTTAGAGGTTATTATACAGGGCAAGTGTGCCTGAAGGAAGATATCGGCACACTTGGTTAGGTATTGGCCCGAGGGCTTTAGCCGAGGGCCAATGCGGACCAAGTGTGCCGATATCTTCCTTCAGGCACACTTGCCCTGTATCATAACCTTTTTATTGCATATGTAGACACTCAATTATGTTATTCTTCTAAACAAAGTTTAATGTTTTATCTCCATACTGTTTTTCTAACAAATCGTGTCTATTTTCTTCACATTTTCCGTTCGCCACAAACATTTGTATTTTTTTAAATATCTGCTCATTAAATTTCTATAAAATCATATAAAAATGTGGCAGAAATTTAATCTTTATCTATCCTGTTGCGTGTTATGCTGATAAGTTAACTATAAGTTATATCTTGAGCGCTCCAACGTCAAAACTTGTTTACGTCAACCGGACGTGACGTCATGATATGGATTTTTGGCACACTAGCAAGTGTGCGATATCTGGCACACTTGCTCAATGCATGCTTATATCGGCACTCTTTGGGCAATATCAGCACACTTCCTTAGCATTTTTGTTACTATTTATAGTAACAAATGCAATAAAACTAGTATAATATCGTTTTGACGTCGACGTCATTTAACGTTAGCGGACGTCGCTTGATTTTACCGCGTTTATAAGGCAAAATAACAACAATTTTTCGGTTTATCGGCTCCAAAATTTAACCTGTGATATGAATAAAATAATAAAAATGCTCGGCAGAGCCTCGCAATTTATTATTTTATCCAACTCGTTTAATAAATTCAATATGAAAAGACACTCATGTAATATCCTCTATATTGGCCTACGAGACCGCTAAAGCCCTCGGGCCAATACCTCTTCTTGGCCAATATTGCATTCAGACACACTAGACCTGTGTAATAACCTATAAATACGCAACGGCAAACACTATAAATAGAAAAAAAATGTGAATTTAAACGTATATGAGTTTTGTCCATGTAATATGACTGTGGTCAGGTGACGTGATGCGCCAAATATCGATATCGGTCCGACTTCCGGTTGGGCCGATATCGATTTCCCACTTCGGGTTGCTAAAAAAACGCGGAAAGATTGACAATTTTATAAGAAAAAATACGTTTAACTGAAATATATCTTGATAAAAAAGCAAAATTGAAGAAACACTTGAAAAACAATCTCCAAACAGTTAAATAACGCCAAAATATATTAAAAAACAAATGTTTGTGAGGAAATGACGTCAACGTCATTAGACGACGTCAAAAGTCCCTCGCTTTTTAAAAATAAATTATACATTGTCGCTGAACAATGTTTTCAAACGATTTTTTTAATTCTATAATGAAAACCAAAACATAAATGAGCACATGCAATAAAAAGGTTATAGAACAGGTCTGGTGTGCCTTAATGCGATATGGGTCTACAAGATCGGTATTAGCCCTCGGGCTCTTTTAGTGGGCCAAAATCGAATAAAGGCACATCAGACCTCTGTAATAACCTATAAATATATCCCGCCTCTAAACCAATGAAAATTCGTGAACTTTATTAGCAGTATTATAATTGCGGCTAGTATTGTGCAATGTGAGTTTGCTTTTAGTCTTCTTGGAATCCATGTTGTTATTCATTACTTTATATTCTAGCATAAAACTGCCGTTATAACCATGATTTCGGGGTGTTTTAACAGGACCAAAAAGGTCTTTTAACAAGGAGATTCTAGCGCTCATGCGCTGTTAAAACACCTTTTTGATATACGTTTTCCGTGGCACAGCGTCAATACATTGTGGCCCGGACGCTGCTTAACTAAAACGGAAATGACGTCACGGTCACATACAACGCTGACGTTCCCGTGCAATCCGAGGAAAATCAGTGATGTTGCTTGATTGTGTATGGATTGTGTTAGATTTATGCATGCTTTATGCTAGAATAGCGTTAACGAATGATTGTTCCGTGTCATAACAACTGCTGAAACCCTCGGGATACGTTGGGTCGGGTACCAACTAATCCCTTGGGTTTCTACAGATATTTTAACACGAAAAAAGAAACATGCGTTATTCCTATATTATATCAGAGTTCTTTAGTACTGACGGCTCATCTAGGGTTCAATATGGCGCGGTTCATATAGTTATTTTACCAGTAATATCTATAAAGGAAAGGGTTAAATGAGAATCATGAAGGAAGTTGAATAAAAAAACTTAAAGAAAACTTAACATTTCTTGTAGAATATGATTGGTCTTGCGAAGCTATAATTACACGAGGTCATTCAAATATCTTGCAAGCAAATTCGCTGAATTAATGTTTACCGCCGACAGCATCATATACTGATTGAAAATTAAACAATTGCAGGATACATTTCGAATAAAGACTCCGGGGAAATAGTCGGTTAAAGCATAAATTATCAGGGCCCATATCACTCAAGGTCACGGCGATAATGCACATGCCCTTTTTGTATTGAAGGTTCCCACACAATTAAAATTAGATATATTTAACATTTGAAGACATGAAATACTTAAGTTATCTGACTGAATATTAAGCAACCAGGGGTCTTAACTTCGGGTAAGTGCCGTCAATATACACATCTCCGCTTGGTATTAGATGTACCCACATAGTTTTGTTTAAATTATTCAGCAGATTTGTTGAAGAATAGGGTTGAATTAATGCTTTTCTATGAACAATAAATGATAATAAATTATGGATCATAACTCTGTATTAAACGGCCAAACGGGAAATACTGATGATGATGATGATGATGATGATGATATGCACATCTTGTTTTGTTTGTTTATGTGTTTATCTAAAGTCGCCGCCGGAAAGCCCATATAAGCGACCGTACCCTCAAGTCGGACCAAATCCTTTAGTGTCCCGTCGAGATTTTTCGAGATGCGCATCTCCTCTTTATATTAAACTAAATTTCGTTGAAATTCCTAGAGCGCAGAAAAGCAATAGTTCTATATACAGTGTTTTATAAATAACAACAACAACAAGGGGCAATAAGTCTGTTTTTTAAAAAGAAATGGAGATATGCTGGTTATATGTGCAACTGGTTTGTGAATGAAGGTTCCTACAAAGTTGCAGCATCGATATCCATCCAGAAGTTGCTGAAAAAATAGCGTGGAAACGAAATGATTCCATATACAGTGTATAATAACTAATCAATGGCCGGATAGTGCGGAAACTAAATCTGGACTGACAGGCGGACGAACACGCTAAAACAGTCCCATCACTCCCGATTTCATCAGCGGGGGAGGGGATAAAAAATGTCTGTAGTTTTAGTTCCAATAATTGATTTCAGTCCTAAAAATTTGTGACGTTTGTGACTCAGTGAAAAGCATTGAAGAAATCAATATTTATCTCAAATTTGTGACATTTGTGATTTTAAACTCGTGACGAATGTGATTGTCTAAAACATTGGATCACATGCATCACAAAATTTGTGACGAATGTGATCTCATTCTTCACAATTGTGACGAATGTGATTTGTGACACATGTGGCCTAACAGTTAACCGTGAAGTCAAGCGAAATGGCGACATTGATATGACGCCGAATATTGCGAACTTCATTATTTATAAGACTGGGTGAGATAGCTTCGCCGAATTTTAGAATTTTGTAAATTAGTAAATTTACAAAAAAAAATTAATTGTTCCTTTTTTTGTTTCACCACTCCTGAATTATTTATTTTCATACCACTCGAAAATAAATCCTGTATTTATAGAAAAAAAATCTATTCATTCAACTCCTCCTATAAATAGTATCAAATCTACACTCATTCAATAGCCTTATACATACAAGGTATATTTATACACCCGAGAATTTACTTATTCTACTATGAACTACGATCATAAGTACTTAACCTTGATATACTGATGTAAAAATAGGAATTTAAATAGTTTAAAATGTATTCAAAAGACTGAACCTACCAGTTCGTCCATTGCAAGAATACTCAATCCGATCTTGACATTTGTTTGAGAGTCCGGTCGAGATACGGGATCATAAGAAGAATTTAAGATGGCCTCATTCCTTATCTCGGTCTCTTTAAAAGGACTGTAGATGGCTTGAGCAGCTGAAATTTAAAAAAATGGCCTTCTTAAAGTCTAAAAAAATAATAAGCTATAATGTCTTCTGCATTTTTCTGCATTTTTTCTATCTTTTTGAATTTCGTAAATAATACTCATAAAATAAAATGAAAGAAATATTTGTATAGTTCCTTTACAGCGATTGGCACATTCACGAAATCTTACCAACATTGTTAAAACCATACTTAAATTTGTAGCATAATATTTTTTTCCCAGAAAAGTGTGTCTGTTTAAGTACAATTTTCATGTGTGTTATATTACAGAGACAATTTATGTTCGAGAATCACCCGAATTATAATGGGAACAACCTGATTTAACTTTTTATAATAATAATAATAATAATAATAAAATGCTTATAAGGCTTTATACACTTTAGATATATTAATTGTTTGATAAATGAATTGTCATCGGTATAATTTATCCAAGCAACAATTGACATGTTGACTAAGTACAACCGTTGTAGAGCAACTCCCTTTGGAAGAGACAAAGATTTTCTATTATAATTATGAATAATTATAGTTCAGAAATAAATCTTGTACCTATCATAAATGTTCTTATTCATATATATGTTTCATGATCTGATAATTTTAAATGATACTTACATGATACGTAAACTAGAAAGTACAAAGCAACTAAAAATGTTGACTTTATTTTCCTTGTAAATACCGGCATGGCTGTTAAGATTTAACTATTTTCATTCCTGTATAACCGAATATATTTCTAGAAAATCACTTGACAGTCACTTTATTTCGTCCTTTCCTAATTGAGATTTCGATGCACCGATGTCACAAACTGTACGTACGCGACTACCACAGCAGTTTTTGTTTCCATCGCACTAATTAGAGTATCGATAATTATTGATGCAAAGCCTAGAAGCATGTGGAACCAATCGTCGATTTACTCGTCGTACTTAACCGATGTATAACAGAAAGGTTTTAAAGGTTCGACACAAAACGGCAATGGTTTAAGAAATCTAACGTATGACAATATCTCAATCTAAAGTCGTGCATGATCAGACTTTCGTATTGTAACATGGCCAGCGATTGATTAAAAAATTGCAGGGAAAACCGTAAGATTCAATGGGACATGAGATGATTTGATGAAAAAATGATGTTTTAAGTATAAAACTAATTTAGAAACTAACACTGTTTTGTTTTCTAACGGAAATGAAATATTTCATAAGTGTCTATGACAATTTGTGACTTGGATATTTTGCATTTATAAAAAGTGTCAATCGCACTTTTTCGGCCATTTCTGTCAGTTTTCGGACACAATAGTTGTATGAATACACAGAACGGATACGGTATTTTGGTCTAACCTACGCTAGGAAACTAGTCATGTAAACAAATAGTAATTTTATGCGGGGAGTCGTATTAATTTTCCAATATATCAAGTGAACGTCCACTTAAAAATGAAATAATACATAGAGGATATTTGTTTAGACCAGTGTAAGATCGGAATATATTTCACTGAGTGAGCACCAAAAGGTATATTTCACGAGTGGCGCAGCCACGAGTGAAATATGAACTTTTGGTGTTCACAAGGTAAAATATATTTCGATCTTACACTAAACTAAACAAATTTTCTTTTTATTATATGCAAAGAAACGTTTTAAAAAGACATTAAACTTAATACTGAATGAAAAGCGCGCCAAATAATAATACAACGTGACGTCATTTACGACGTCACGTCATTAAGTTGGTACCCAGTACTGTGCACGCTGGTATTTCACTGAAACAACGTAAGGGGCTTAAATTCAAAACAGTGAAATTATCAAAGTGGTAATTTCACTGTTTGAAACAGTGAAATTACCAGTTTTATTTCACTGATATATTTCTATAAACCACCGAAAAGCATGTAATAAAATACATTATCTATATATTCTTTATTATGGTTGAAAAACCGAAAGTACAAAATGCCAACCTGTTGACATTAAGTCGGATTTGTTTGAAATTGTACATCAGTGGGCATATTTAAATTAAAAATCGTTGTCAGACATATTCTCAATCATAACTGTACCGAACCAGACTTTTCACTGATGTCAAATGTATACATTCGTTTAACATTATCGAAGATAACGCTCTCTATTTTTGTTTACATCTGAAACCACGTGGTAGAACTACTTACAATCCGTATTAATTCCGAGGTCATTATAGATGATAGCCGAGAACTTTCCGATTGTAAAAGGTGTATGTCAGTCCTGTGATCAGCAGGAAATTTCAATAAAAAAGGGGGTAAGTAATCCTATTTGAAGTCATTTTGCAAAACATTTGGTCGGCTACCCCTATGTAACAAGATCATTTATGCATTATCATTTCATTGTATTAAGCATTTCATTCTCCTTGAAAAATCATCTCTTTAACATGAAGACCCAATTCTAAGGTAGGATTAGGGACCATTTCCCATAATGTAAGAAATAGGAAAATCAATATGAAAGTCTGACCAAACAAAGCAAGTGAGATATATGTTTAACAAGTTTGTCGTGCAGCATGGCCCGCTATGTGTTAATGTGCAGTGAATCCACAACAAACAAATGGAATGCATATAATAATTTTAATAAAACAAAAACACGAACACCTGGTAGATACATGTACAGTTAATACATAGACGGAGTTTTTTAAAGAAAATATTCCACCCCCTACCCCCACCCCTTTTACACAAGATTACAAGTATATAAAAATAGAAATGAAATTAATCCATAATTTGCAAATGCCCCCAGGATTATATTTGTAAACAAAGAGTGGAATATATTTAATGCATATAAAACGTTTTTGAAACGTTTATGTTTTTCAAAATTAAAACACATGTAATTCTGTTATATACATAGAATTAAAAGAAGAAAAAATGTAAAATCAAAATTTGTCAAGAAATTATTTATGATCTATTTAAAGTTTCATAGCGGACTATAAAGGACGCAGACTGAAAATTATAACTTAATGTTAATTCATAAAAAAAGGACGAAATCATAAAATATTTAATTGAACGCCACATTTAAAAACCTAAATCAACTCGGTAACATATATACGATAAATCATCTACAGTCGCTCCTATGTCCTGATCTTTTGAGCTGTTTTTGTTGTTGTTGTCTATTTTTATTATTATTATTATAATTATTATTATTATTATTATTCAGTCAGGCGGCCGAAATAATATAAATTTTTAATTAAGGAAACCTTAAAGTTGTCTGTTAGAACGTGTACAGCAAGATACACAAACCGCTATCGGACGTTTTATATCAATGAGGTCAACATGTTTGCGCATGACATTTTGTCATATTTAGATCCAGATCTTTGTTTTGTCCCAATTTGATAAAAGGAGAGACATTCTTTTAATTTATAGCAGAAAATAGGTTTACTTGGATTTTGAACATGAACTGGTTTATTTGTAAGTATTAACTTGATCTTTAATTAAAAAAGAACTTTTAAAAAAAATAATACTAATGCGACGTCATATTTTACATATTTAAAATGTGATTCGCAAACACACATGATTTTGTGTTTGATTTAAAATGGCTAAAACGATCTTAAAGTTCTGCTGGTAAAATTCGTGGTAAAAGTAACGATATTTATGATTTCTCAAATCGCTTGGCCGCTGACATCCGTGGAAAAAGTAACGGAAATACTCGCCTAATTATCATTATTATAATAAAGGTAATGAACTAATAATAGAAAAAAGTATGTTTGCCATTATAATTTATTATTATTATTTTTATTATTATTATTGATGTTGTTGTTGTTGTTTATATTTTTGAATCATAACCTGTATTGTATAGATTATTTTACTGTGATTTCAGGTTGTTGCATCTTAACATTGGTGCTTAGAAATGATAATGTCGTTTCTGCTTTTATTTGTAAGTATGACAGTTTTGATAATTTACTTTTTTTTTTCATGAAACTATCAAAAAAAGTCATTAAAAATACAGTACAGTGATTTTGCCATCATCTTTATATTTAGCTTACTATTGTGAATGCTGTTAAGCTAGAAGTTAAGAAATGTTCAAGCAAATAAATGAATTTAAAAAAAATGTTAGATTTGTATTATGTGTACTGTTTCTTCTTTTTTATTCATTTTTAAAGCTTTAATGGTACCTTAACGTTGATATTATTCAACTTGACCTTTTTGTGCCCCCACTTTAAGGGGTGGGGGCATTTAGATTTACCCTTGTCCGTCCGTCCGTCCGCACTCACAGTGCAGTAATTATGTGGCTAGAGGGACACTAGGTAACTGTTCTTTCTCTTTGATGTCATTCATTCCGGAATGCTTTTATGTGACTATTTTCTTTTGTGTGGCTAAAAAGAATAATAGAGAGAACAATAGAGTAGCCACATAATTACTGTCCTGTGAGAACATCCGTCCTTCCGTCCGTCCGTCCGTTCTCTTTTGTGTCGCACGTAACTCAAAAAGTGTTTGACCTAGAGTCATGCAACTTTACAGGAATGTTGATCAGTATGTGTAGTTGTGCACTTGGGTATTTTCGTGTGGATTTATAGAGTATTTTAGAGTTATTGCCCTTGACTTAGTAAAAATTTGCAATTTTCAACTTGTGTCGTATGTAACTCAAAAAGGATTTGACCTAGAGTCATGAAACTTTACAGGAATGTTGATCAGCATGTGTAGTTGTGCACCTGGGTATTTTCGTGTGGATGTATTTAGTATTTTTATAGTTATTGCTCTTGACTTAGTAAAATTTTGCAATTTCAACTTGTGTCGCATGTAACTCAAAAAGGATTTGACATACAGACATGAAACTTTACAGGAATGTTGATCAGCATGTGTAATTGTGCACCTGGGTATTTTCGTATGGATTTATTGGGTATTTTTAGAGTTATTGCCCTTGACTTAGAAATTTTTTGCAATTTTCAACTTGTGTCGCATGTAACTTAAAATGGATTTGACATAGAGTCATGAAACCTTACGGGAATGTTGATCAGCATATGTAGTTGTGCACATTGGGTTTCGCTTGTGGATTTATTTGTAGAGTTATTGCCATTGACTTAGTAAAACCGTTTCATTATGTTGTGTTATTTGTTCATTGAGTGCTTGAGTTAGAATCAAACAACTTTACAGGAATAATGATTAACATCACTAAATTACAGGAATAATGATCAAAATCACTGTGAAGCATGGCACCTGGGACTTTACATGTAGATTTTTTTCAGTTTTGTTAGAGTTATTGCCCTTGACTTACAGTAGTATAAATTTGCAATTTTCAATTTGTTCATGCATAGCTCAAAAAGTATTTGACTTGTAGGCCTGAAAGTTAGCAAGAATGTTGGTCAGCATGTGTACTTATGCACTTTGGGGTTTGCTTGTGGACTTATTCAGTATTTGTAAAGTTCTTGCCCTTTACTTAGTAAAAGATTTTTAGTTGTGGCACATGTAGTCCAAAAACTATTTGACTTAGAGTCATAAGATTGACAGAACAGTGGCGTGTGGGGGCACCCGTGTCCTATGGACACATTTCTAGTGTTGTTTGAAATGAATCGAATCGAAAATAAAATGGAAACTGCTATTTTTCTATAATCTTTATTTTGAATGAACTTATCAGATCAGTTTCTAAACCAATGTTTCTCTTATTTGAAAATCTGTTTTTCCAAAATTTTATCCCGATTACATTTTCTTTTAAAAATTGAGGATTAATAAAATTAAGAGAACATCATATTTGTTTTGATTTTTCTGATGTTTTATTTAAAGCATTTGTTTTTTCATGTATCAGTTGGCTCACCCCACAGTTCAGTGTCATGTGACCACCTCCCTGAATACAACAGTAAGCTATATTACCTAAGTCTTTTATTCGTCGAATGTGACAAATAGACATTCATCTGTTCTAGGAGTATAGTACTTGGTTTATACAGAATTTATTTTGGTTCGATTGTGTAGGAAGCTATAAGCTTATTGACAAACTTTCGAACCCGTTCCTGGTACCAACCAGTACTGAGTAATGAATGTAAAGTTTCTTGCTCAAGGAAACAACGAATTGCCCGTGACAGGGTTTGAACCCAAGCGTCTAGCGATCATTAGATTACTAGTCCAACGCGTTAACCACTCGGCAATGCAATGGGTATAATACTTAAATACCAGTACTTGTCAACCTAATCAGTATTAACCGAGTCTGCAATTCTAACGTAATTTTGTTGTGATTAATGCTTCCGTGGGATCACTTTGTTTCCAGATTTTTAGATTTTGATTCATTATTGCAGTACCAGTTCTTTGATTCTGGAAGTAATCTTGTACTTGTACCAGTACTTTTATATTTTCATCATGTTTTGCATAAAGACACATGTAAAAACACGAATTCATTATAATTATGATGTATGTACAATATTTGTATTCTACATTTTATCAACAAGATAAGTTTGTTTCGAGAAATAATATTTCCTGGTTATTCAACTGAAAGAATTGAAAAAAAGAATCAGCTAAAGTAACATTTACTGTTGTGTATCAGGTTTAGAAAACATTTTACAATAGTACTATATCTAAAACAAGTAATTCATATCTTATTTATATTACAGTCAATGAAGATCAATATTTTTCATGTAATGGCTTTATAGCTTTGTTCAACTGCACAATAAAAAAAAAACAGAATAAAAAAGTATTAACAGCATGTGGCTTAAAAACGAATATTTAGGTTATTGTAACAGAATACAATTATCTTTCATTTAAAACTGAACTAAAATGGGATAAGTCCTTTGTTCTCTGTCATCCCCCGTTGAAGAATACTAAATTCCTTTATTTTTCTTCTCTTAACTCGTTTATTATAATAACAAGTGCTTTATATTTTAAAGATACAAAGTCGAATTTTAACTAGTCAATATGTTATTAGTTTGATCTTTCCTAAATAAATAAATACTATAAATTAAAGAGTTATCTCGTTCAGTTTTTTTTATGAAAACTAAAGTAATGCCTTAGTGCTGCAGTACCAGTACCACTTTCATGTGACAGAAATGCAGTACCAGTAGTACTTGTAGCAAACTTTTGTGCGAGTTATTCAGTATTAGTTAAAGTGGGACGAATCATTATAGTATCCAACAGAACATGTCGCTTATATCTTTTATTTCAGATCTTATAAAAACATTAAAACTTCACCCATGCATAAGTGATACCCAAAGTATGTATGTATGTTTCTATTGTATTTTGAAATATTCTATTATTTTGTATGGTTTACAAAGTTTCTTTGTGGTCTTTTATTTTTTAGCCTGGCCATCCATAGAAAAGGAGAGCTGTATACTGGCCCAGGAGTCGGTGCAGCCGTCACACTTTTGTTAAGTTTTTCTCCTGCAAGTTGGTACCTCCAAAATTACTGAATGAATGTGTTGAAACTTAACACTCTTTTATAGAGCATCATATAACGTCAATGTGCTAGGCCAATAATTCTTACATGAATTTTGACAGAATTATATCGCCTTTTTGAACGTAGAAATTTCTTTATGTTCCAGAGTTTTGTTCACTATCAAGCACTGAAAAAAGGCGAGCACGCTGCTTTACTTATATCTGTCAATTGTTAAAATTCATAGTGTTTAATATTTGTTCTTTGTGTTTATCAATATCACTGAAACACAAAGAACTTTATTTCACTCTTTTCGTTTATAATAAAAAAACAGCGATATTTTTATAGTAATCATATCATTAAAGCTTCACAGCGTGACTAGGACTTGTAACTTGTTGTGATGGCTGGTGATAAAGTTTCTTGAAAGTTGTACATTATGCTTCAGAAACGCTGCCAATTTTATCTCTTAAAAGCTTTCTATTTTTCGTTATCTTGTAACAATTTAAAAATCCTATTTGCCATGCAGATTAAATAATCGAAAGAGCATTGAAACACGGGGCTGTCGGAGGGAGGGGAGGCATAGTCTCTGTGTATGAAACAGAGTGTTTTGATGTTAGTTTAACGTATCTTACACATAGATCAAAACACGTTCCATGTTGTCACAATATAAAACCATAGAAAAAAGTAACCAGAGAACGAGCATCTGAATATGACTGTCCTATTGTTATCCCTTTCTCTGTCGTCAAAATGAGTAAACCCCAGAAAAAAATAGCCAATTAACGATCATGCTCTATATTTGTCCCCGACAGATAGCGCGGTAACCAAAATGCAGGTTACTAATACCTGCACACCTGTTAAAGCATATGCATGGGTATTCAATTTGAATATGGAAAGATCTCTAAACTGTGATACAAGTAATAGAAAGAGCATCGAGACACGAAGCTATCTGATTTGTACGAGGGCGCGTAGCCCCCGAGTATTAATCAGATTGCGGAGTGTTTTGATGTTATTCCTCTTTTGTATCATAGTCAAACATAAAAGCACGTTCTCTGTTGTCACAATATGAAACCACAGAAAAAAGTAACCAATGAACGAGCATTTGAATATGATATTTCTGCCGCCTTTCCTTTATGTGCCGTCACAATAAGTAAACCCAAGCAAAAATTAGCCAATCAATGGGCATGCTCATGAGTGCGGGTAACCAATACCTGCACACCAGTTAACGCAATGTGCATATATCATATACAATTTACTCTGACACATTTTCAACAGAAATGTCCCAAAACTATGATACAACTATCGTTTACTTATTTTACTCTGTTGGCAATGGGTATAATCATAGTGAATGGAAGTCAAAATACTACTTTGTTTACATTTTGCTACCTTTACGACGCATAACTGTATTTCAGCGCTACTTCTGCAGTTGTTTAACATCTAACATGCTCTAAATCTATTATTAAAACATTGAGACCTATCTGTTGAAAATGTGTCAGAGTTAAATCGTATGCATTTACAACATGCACAGTGTGTTAACAGGAGTGCAGTCAATAGTTACTTGCACTCCAGAGCATGCTCATTGATTGGCTCATTTTGTACTGGGTTTATTAATCGTGATGAAAGGGAAAGCGCTAAAAAGATCATATTCAGATGCTTGTTCATTGGTGTTTCATATTGTGACAACAGGGAACGTGTTTTTATTTTTGCGCCTCTTCGTACAAATCAGATAGCCACGTGTTTCAATGCTCTTTGTATTAATTGACTGACATTCATAAAGAATTATAAGAGTATGGATTTATACGGAATAATGTGCAATATTCTATACTTTTTATAAAATAATGGGTTGTAATACTGTTTACATTTTATTACAGTTTGGCAAATGTTGATCCCACTACATGACAAAAGCCATTCCTGTCTACGACAACTAATCACCATAGCAGCTGGTAATATCATAAGCAATTTAAAACCATAATTGTTACCATTGATACCAGGAACATTTTAAAACCACAAATATGTAAACAAATTAAAACCAAAAATTTATCTTGTCATATCTAAACCAAGTAACGACCATATCCATTGACTGTATCCATATAAACCATGAACATTTTAATACCTGATAACATAAACGATTGAAAAAATATGTCTAGCGATATCTTTAAAAAATTCCAGATTATAAATGGATTCAATGATACCATTAACATTTTAAGACCACAAATATGACCAGTGATAACATAAATAACTGAAGACCACAAATATTTCCAGCGATATCTTGAAACAATTTCAGACCATAAATTAATTCAATGATACCTTGTACAATTTAAAACCACAAACATGTACAGTGATACCTTAAACATTTTCAGAACATTAATATATCCATTGATCCCATAATCGTTTTAAGACCACAAATATGACCAGTGAAAACATAAATAACTGAAGACGACAAATATTTCCAGCGGTATCTTTAACAAGTTTAGACCATAAATTAATTCAATGACACCATGTACAATTTAAGACCACAAATTTAAAATGTACAGTGATATCTTAACTAATTTCAGACCATAAATGTATCAACTGATATCACGAGCATTTTAAGACCATTAATATGATCATAACAATTTATAACCTTAAATTTTAAACGATGAATGTATCCAATGGCATCATTAACAGTTAAGTTTATTAATGTGTCCAATGTGTCACGTTGTATCACAGTGATGAAATAAACTGAAACTTACAAACTTGCATATTAACGGTGTACATTTGTAACTGTGACCATTGATATTATTAAAACTGTTTTAATATCATAAAGAATGTTAGATCAAAAGATAATGTATATGTATTTAATGTGTTTAATAATTACAGGGTACGTCGAAAGTCACAATATTGATGGAACGGGATGTCATTGTTCACATAAGTTTGACCGGGAGCACGTGCACAGTATAGGACGTAAACGTTTTTATTCAATATCTTTTTAACTCTGATATATTAACTAAATCTGTAGTATGTTATGAAGTCTGATAAAATTTTATTTAATTTTTTCATTAGTTATTTAAAGCGTAACTATAACTTTACGTTATCAACGTAATTTTTTTAATTTTTCAGACAACCACGATAACTATTGGACCTGTGTGGTGCATAATTCAAATTGTGAATGTAAGTTTGTGTTCATACATTTCATATAATTTTTTTCTTCCCGTTGAAACTTGCCAACTCGGGTTCCATTTAATATTTATATAAGCTTAAGTTTGTGATGAACTTTTGAACCAGATCACCATAAGCATTAAATAGTTAAACCCCGGCTCTTTGCGCATACTTCTACGGTGTCTTTATCGGGTCATTTATAATGTTGTCCGTCGTGTTGAAGGGTCGACGCAAGACAATGTGAAGTGACACAGAAACAATGCAAAAAATTGTTTCACATTCGTATTGTCGAGCGTCACTTGGCGTTGTCGCATTGTCACTTGGCATTGTCACTTCGCGTTGTCGCATTGTCGCAGTGTAAAAGTCAGAAAAATATCGCGACATTTTATAAAACATCACTTCGTGTTGTCGTTTGTCGTATCGCATTGTCAAGCGTCTTATCGCATTGTCGCGTGTTATGGTCTGTATTTCTGCTAACCCCGACACTTGACAACGCAAAGTGATAATGGGACAACGCGAAGTTACAATGGGACAACGCGAAGTTACAATGCGACAACGCCATGTGACGCTCGACAATACGAATGTGAAGCGACATTTTTTTGCATTGTCGCTGTGTCATTTCACATTGTCTTGCGTCGAGTACGTGAGACCCTTGTACGAATAAAAAAGGCATGAAAGGCAGGAAGGCCCTTTGCTTGGCACCGACAGCCCTTTTAAGGTGTACCCCGTTTCATATTGACTTAATGTTTTCACTTACCGCTGTACAGTGAACTATGTTTGGTTTAAAACTCATATCTTAAGCTATTACTCCGTGGCTATTGCATGGAGGTAAATTATCACCACTTTGTGATTCAAAATTATACCTTTAAAGGCATGACTGGTGACATGTCCAGGGTTTGTATTGGAACGCGAAAGCTGCATTTTAACTAGCATTTTATTAATTTTGGATAAACCCTTAGCAATAATTGTTTTCACAAACAAAAATGCAATTAAATACTCTTTCAATACATATAAATCCATTTGAATCCCGATTTATATATTTGTGTTTATCTGCACTTATATGCAGGACATGTTTCTGTTTTGTTCAGTATATCATGTTAAAGGGCAAAATAAACTTGTCATTGGAAATGCAGCTTTCGAAACATAGTTATTGCATTCTCTTTTAGACACATTCAACTATGATTTTTATGGATTTAATAATGAGCGTACTATATATTCATACGATCTCTATCATTGATATATTTCAGACTTGTTCCATTACTTTTATCTGCGAACAAGCCAGACACATGCAAAGTCTCAATGCCAGTCTAATAGTCACGGTATGTTTAGTTTCATCACAGATTTATGGGGGAACTATTTGCGTTAATGTGTAAGGTAGTGGTCACCAGTGCTTCGATTATATAAATATCAAAAAGTCCCACACTATATTCAGGGGTGTTGTTTTGTTCTACGTGTATTTAATATAATAGACAGTCCAGACAATTTCATGTAAAACAGCAGTTTAAGCATAACAATGATCATATAGAAGAATTTTTTTAAATCGGTTTAGCAGAAGCACTGACTCAAGTTGCATGCAATCAACATCGCTAAAAGTACTCGGCTTTATGTTTTTTACATACAGGAATTTTTTTATCTATTTATTTTATCTGTTGTTGTTTTTGTTCTGTTTTGAGTTTTTGTCGTTAATTGTTTTACTTGAAATAAATCGCTTATAAACCATGCTGTACGTTCTTATATTGCTACTAATGCTGTGATCTATGGCACTATGATTTTCAGTTTGGACACATCTGAGAGACATCAGGGGCCATCTTGGAGTAGATGTTCAGACGGACATTATCCTGCACCTTGCTCGTTTGTATCTATATAATACGATACTCAAATATTTTCAAATTACAGAAACTTCACTGACATGACATGACTGAAAATGAACTATTGAGATCAATGTAGCATTTGATGTAGGTGTAGATTACAAACTTGTGAACAGCGTTACAATGCCTTTCACTCAAACTGGCTCAGGATTGCAACATTGAAAGAAATACGATTTTCATTTTATTTTTGGGTATATTCCTGAATTGAATTTTGCATATAGTTTCGTTTTAATTGCCCCAGCTGATCTATGTAAGAAATTAAAATTATATATTGTGTGCTTATAGATCTCAGCGGAGTTCCTTTAAGTAACACATGTAAACTTTATTATTTAATCATATTAAAAGGTTTTAATTGTCAAATTTAACTATTAAATGTCATTAATTTATCACTTCAAATACCTACAATCCAATTACTTTGATTTCCTTTGAAATATTAGCAATATAATTTATAGTGTGAATCATTGTTAAATAATTTGAACTTATTGTAATGTTATAGATACAGGCTGTACACTGAACACTAACTGCTAACATAAACTAACCCAGCAAAATTTAACTAAAATGATATTAATTTCAAACAAATCTAACCAAAGATAATATTTGAGTTACTCTTGCATAATTTCATTAGTTTTCAAAAACACACCTGTATAACATGTCACTTTCGAAACTAAATGCCCTTAAAACAAAATTCATCAAGTTGAGAAGTACAATGTATATATTCTCAAAATCGTGTGCTGGGTTTGGCCAATATGCATGATATGCAAATGATATTCATCTAATTTTGATAAGGTATGTGGAGTTTTGCTTCATGGTATTTCCCATATTCTCACAATATGCGGTGGGGAGGGGGTGGGGTAACTAAGTTGTTTTGCCGGTTCAGTGTAAATATAAGAAAAAGAAACGAACCATGTCATGATTAATGGTAGTTGCATTTATAGTTTGTTGCATGTGTTAAGATCAATAAAATATTGCTTTTTCTTTCAGAAACATTTTCCAAAGGACATGAAAATGTCTGCACATGCACAAAAGGTTAAAGAAATATTTCGTTTAGTAATTTGCTTTTATATATTAATGTCTTGATGTATGTTTATAAAATTTAGTTAACATCATCTACTCATAATATGGTTTATCTATTCTAATGCAAGTTTTTACTCTTACAAGTAAAGTTCGATATACAAGGGGCACACTTCTGACAGCGGTATTTCTTTTAGTTTTGCCCATTTTTTGTATTTTTATTTATTTATTTTTGTGTTAAAATGGTTATTTAACAGACGAACGTGAACATCGCTTGCGGTTGTTTCTTGTTCATGTTTTATATCAATTATAAGCATTAGCATTACACCTTAATTTGTTGGTACAATGTAATTGAAATTAATTATAAAATATGGAATCTTGCAACACATACAACAGTAAATTTCGAAATTACCACAGAACAACATTTGCTTACACAAGTGTCGACGCTAAAGGCCGAGCCATCAAGCACCGTAACAGTTTCTCTAACCACAAAACCGACAACTCAAGAAAACACTTTTGCGTCAGCAACATCACCATTCGTGCCATCCGCCACCCAACCAGCCAGTGGAACGAGCAAACATAACACTGAACATTTTAATAACCATCAAATCACATCATCTTTTGGTGGCTCAACTGCAACTTCATCACATGCAATTCAAAATCCACAACCAGTGCCGTCTAATATAGATCAATCTTCAACAAATGCATTAAATATAACTACCAATTGTGAGAAGTATCGCTCAATATCAGGAATAGCTGCTTCAGTGTCGGTCTCCCATCCTTTAGCTTACCTTTGTCTGTCTGGTAATCGAACCTCAAACGAAGCCTATGTTTTAGTGAATTGTCAAGTTGGAATCCCTGAAAACTGGAAAGAAGGACCAAACGTAAGATAATATTAAGATCTTCTTAACATTTTATGTGCTTTGTACGATATACTGCATGAAACATGCAATTAGAATACAATAACTCTAGAAGTATCTTTAATATAATACATCACGTTCAATTTATATCCATGCATTGTAATATTGATCAATATTAATATTTTAACAAATGAGAGAAAAACAGAATAAGTGTACATTCGACTCAGCAATGCAATTGTTTTAAGGGTTTTAATAAAGTTTTTGATGACACGTGAAGCAGTTAAAACAGTATTTACTTTATTGCTTGAACTTAATATTGTATTCATTGAATGATTTAATGTGAAGGAAAATGAAGATAGAATTAAATTTAACCGAAAAAGATTGACAGGATTATCCTTTAACGGCTTTAAATACCAAAAAAAGATTTGAATTACAGATTACTAGGATTATTTGTTCACTACATTTGAATGAGAAAAGAGATGAAGATTTGTATTATATTTAATCATTATTAATACCAGGGACATACTTTTTATAACATTCAGGTGATGGCAAACTGTGCATCTATTCCAACCTATACCCCCATAGCAACCTTTAAGACAGAGTATGCCGGCGTTCGTGACCATGAGGGTCTATCCGGAATCTTTCTTGGTTGTACTTATGGCGGTTTCAAGGTGCGTCAGTTAGTTATACAAATGTAGAACATGTTTAAAGGTTTAGCTTGACCAAATTATTTTATTTCTGGTAATGACACATAACCTGTTACCTTGTAAGCAAGTAAAACAATGTTTTTCAAAGTAAATTATACCAAACAAATAGTGTTCAAAGAACGCACTATGCAATTACACAAGTATATTGTATGATACGCACATTTAGATATTCCATCAAATTATAAATTTATATCTAATATAATCTTATCTGATATATCTGATAAGCTTTTAAAAGAAACAACAGAGAGTAGCCAATCCACTACTGTACTAGTTTTTAATGATAAGTGTGTTTTTTATTATTTTATTTTTAATTCTTGAAATAAACCAAACAAAACTCAATATTATATCTAGTTTTTAAAAGGCCAAATACTTTTAAATTATATATAATGAATCAGGTTCATTGGGATGATCAATCAAGTTCTTTTTTTTTTCTTTTACAGATAGCTTTTCAGAATTGTGACACATATGCAACAATTAAGCATATAGAGAGTGCATCAGGGTCTGGGATTGATGATCCGTATAATTATTTTGTTATTGCATAATAAAAAAAAATGTCACGTAAAAAGTTGTTATACAAATAAATGTTCACCATTATTTACATTTTTTTGTTTGACCAATATGAGATCATTCATAAGTTAAGGGTTTGGCTATAAATACTGTAAGCAACCTAGAAAATATTTGGACAAACAACGTTACTTTTAAGAATCGGAACGCACGCACTTTTTGTCCGATTCAAATATGTTTTTAACTCTACTTTTCAGAGAAAAAGTGGGGCAATGCAATGATTGCAATTGCGTTGGTGTTGCTTAATATACTTTGTTAAGTTATCGTTCATGGTCATTTACTTTATTATAGAAAAGTTATTTCTTAGAAAATTGTTTTTTATGCATCTTGATATGTTGTTTTTAACAGGTCATAAGGTCAAGGTCACTGGGACCTTTATGGTCCATTTTCTCCAAAATATATATTAAATCTATCAGTTTCAGATTTGGTACACATGTTCCTTATTAAAATGTGATATACAAATACAATAATAGTTGGTCCTTAAATTACATTTCCTAAAGTTACACTTTGTTTGACCTTTTTGTTCAGATTAATTTCTCAAAAGTAAAAAAGTATGAAATGTATTTCCTTTAAACTTAAAATTCTATCAAAATTTGGACAAGTTATCCTGAAGGTCTTTTTTCAAATATTGTCTCCCTTTTCAATAAATAGATACATTTATTATATACTTATAAATGAAATATTGAGAAATATTGATGAAATAAAATGCGTATTTTCATTTTCCGTATTTTCACTGTAAAAATTTATTTTTCACTGCAGTGAAACATATTTTCCGTATTTTCACTGGTGTTTTGCCGGACTACTTTCTTTTAAATTCTACCAGTACACAAAATTTAAGGGGAAGTTTTTCAAATTTTATCGCAAAAAAGAGAAAAATGTACATAATAAACAGAAAATTCAAGTTTTTTCTATAAATACATGATTTATTTTCATCTTGTGGCATGAAAATTACCATATTTCACTCGTGGCTACTGCCACTCATGAAATATTTATTTTCATACCACTCTATATATTTTTTTAATTTTCTCAAAATCACCACAAGATATTTCACTTCAAACTTGAAATTCATCTCTACTATCAAGGTCTGATAATTTTGATAACCAGCAAAATTATGCCCACATTTCTACTATACTTTATAATATCCAGCACTGAGTGGATCGCACTGTTTATCTTAAAGTATTATAAGTAACTTTGCTGTATAAGTGCTTGTTAACGCGACTTTAGGACGATCATCACGATCTGAAAAAAATATTGGATCGGGGCCATCGAGCAATTTGGCAAATAATGGTTTTATTACGACCGTACTAAGATACTCCAACGTTTAACGCTTCTACTACGATGTAATGCAGACTGTAGCAGACCAGCGGCCGAGTTAACTGCGTTTATCTGACGCTGCCGCTACGACATTCAATATCATACTACGACGCTAAGCAGACCTACAATACTGCCACCGATACCGTTACGGTTGTACCTGTACTACGCTTCTAGTGCGATTTTGGTGATGATCTCTTTACATATTGGGTTTCGACCACAATTTTTCACTTCTTTCCAACCTTTTTTTATGACCTTTACCACGGGGTTTATTACGGGGCATTTTCAATTTTTGCAACTGTAACTGTAAGTTTGCAAAGTTCGAAGTCCCAGCTGATATTGATCGTCAAGTATATAAATGAAGTTGCCAGATGATGATTGGTCAAATATCAGAGCTTTAAAAAACAAACTTCTACCTTCTATGGGTGGTTGGGTTATGGTAGGCCTTCGTAAGATTGTCAGAAACGCAGGGATCGTAGTGGAAACGTAGTAAGAAAGTAGCACTCGATATGTTCTCGACTGTACTACGCCTTATATGCGCTTCTACTACGATCATGAATATCTCTCTACGATGCTTCAGCGCTGTTTGTACAATACCGGCGATTCTTCTACGCTCTTTTTACAACTTTACCCCGATATTTGCTGGCTACTTCCCCGCTAGCTTGTCTGAACATGCTCAAAATAAGTTGTGCGAGGTCGTAGAGTTCCGGACCATGAAGACCTTACCTCGACATACTTCTGAAGACTCTACTACGTTTCTTCCATTTGTCAGGATCGGACACGTTTTCGGCAACTCTTTTAGCGTAGAAGAAACAGCAGTCAATGTGTGAACGGGGGTAATCAACCCTATTTAGACGACATCAAACGCAAAAGTATTTTTTTAGATTTCAAGCTTCCCCTGGCATATCAAAATTTTACAAAGAAACGGAATGAATTTCTGCCACAAAGTAAAGCTATTTCACTTGGAATATTTTAGTTAATAAATAATTTATTTTACTACGATTTTATAGGAAACTAAATCCTTATAAACACCCCCTCTAAATCGTTCATGAAACAAATCAGTACTGAACATTGAGTATTAAGTTAGTTGCTCAAGGAAACAATGACATGGATTAAACTGAATTTTGAAATCACGCGGCTAGCGAGTGCGACTCATTAAATACACGGTCATTCCGCCACTATTATAGAACGTTGGAGTAACTATTTGCATTTGCACAACCTACTACCGCTTCTAAATGAATCGTCGACCTTGATAATGAATTTGTTTACGTTTCTTTAAATTGGACGTGACTTACACAATGTGAAGGCCAAGGAAAGATAATATATTATTGAAGAGGTCGAACAATACGGACTCATAAACAAGTACACCTGTTTTAAATCATGAAAGGCAAAATATATCTGCGTAAGTTCTAATTTTTGCTTCTTTGTTCTTTTTAATTTTATCTTCTTTTGTTAAATAATTTTTGTTGTTTTATGTAATTTATATCATCATTGTCCCAACTCAAGGCACTGCGTAACAATACCTTGTTTTCAGGAGGTATGACAACCAAAATTGATCAAACATTAAAGACTGCAAATCTAAATACTTATGTTTGTGAACATTACATACCTCCATTTTCCTATATCATCTTGTATATCAAGACACGTGAGAATGCGCAAATAACGCGAAAAAGCGAAAGAGAAAATATAACTGTGCAACTTTATGACGGTATTTAAATGAACATGAACAAACACATTTTAAAGTAAATCTAATTGAAAGAAGTGATTGAGCGCATACGGTTTTTTTGAGAGATTATGTATAAATTTAAACTCATTAAAATATTTACAGGAAAGTGTTTGCTTTTCAAGATCGTTCGTGAGACTGATGTCCTAGCTAGCGTGTTGACGTCATAAAACGTACCTGCATCATATTTATCTGCTTCCTTTAGTATTCTATTAAAGTAGTAGTTAGGCGTTAGAGTTTAAATGCGTTATTGTACTTAATTTCGACGAAACACAAAAGTCGCTTTCAAAATCATATGATCCAGCCGGGTCATCATCTTCGCAAATGATCTAAAAAAATGTAAACATATTCCAAGAAATAGTATACTTACCGAATTAAAATGTCATAGCAGTCGTATGCGTGCACTTATTCCTTTTTTTTTTTTTTGATCATCTGTTTGTTTACTACGTGACTCGCTTCGGCTTTGCGCATGTTCATTTTATTGCGTAAATCGATGTATTTACAAAAATGCCGAAATGTACGAAAACTTTAAAAGGACTCCAATAAATGAGATCATGATGTGTAAGTCGACTGATTTTAATGCGATTTTAACACACACCAAAAAGATTTTTTTTAAATATTTTGCCGAAAACATTTTCTCAATTTGCTTGAAGTCTTTGTACAGACGAAAAGATATCTTTTCGTCTTTTGTAAAAAATTGTCTTTTTGAAAAAAATTCGCCTAGACAAAAAACTGCAAGCATTTTCAGAAAAGTGACTAAGATTGACAAGAAATGGTCTAGTTTTTTGTGAATAAAATTAATTGATTTGTTTTAAAACATCTGATCAAATCGAACAAGAACAGTCGTTTTACACCTGATTATCGCACTAAATGGAGGCCTTTTAGCCTTTCCTTAAAAATGGCATTTATTCAGTTTTGACGAAAAGTCATAAGTTGCTGTATCATGTAGCCACTTACGGTATTTTTCTAATTGTTTTACGAATAAATGTATATGCACATGCCAAACATTTATCATACCACATTGAAATGAAAGTATAAAAGAAATAGAGCTATTTTTTTTATTTTAGTGTTGTGTGGAACTACAACAATTTTTCATCTGATTTCGGCATTTCTACTTGACCGTAAGCTACATTTACATTTCATTGCTATGGAGTTATTGTCTATAAATCGCATACATTTTATTAAAATTAATTCGATCTTTATTTTAATATTTGTTGATGAGGATGCGATATCAAACGTGTTTTTGAACATTACAAGAGAATCAAATTGCCTTGTACAATTTATCTGTTTGTTGTAAAATAATGTATTATTGCTTTTTGAAAATGTGGAAATAAAAAAAAGAACTGATATATTTTATCATTGTTAAATTAGATGTTCAATGTTTATTTCAACAGAACAACCATGCGAAAAACTTCCAGAATACCTAAGTGAGTTTCCATTTTCATAATAAATGGCTATATAGGAGGATTTTATATGTCTTGAATAGTTTAATTCTCAATTTAACCACTTTATATTTTATTGTTGGATACTGTTTAAGCCGATGCTTCGGGAGAGAGGATGAGTGTAGGCGGCTTTCACTTATCACGCAAACAAAACCTTCAACATTTTTCAATTTTGTCGATTAGGATGTTTTATAGGGATTCATATTTTCTTTATTAGATCGACATGTCTTCACGTGCAAGGAAATATTCTTAATGCTCAATATAAATAATTTTCTCTTGTCAAAGATTTTGCATTCCATTAAGTAATTGTTATTTAAACCTATCGGGTTTTTGTTACCAAAATTGACAAAATTAATACTGTGGCAACCGTATCATTAAAGATTTATTTGCAATGATTGTTTATGTGAACGAATTCAACAAAATTGCTTATCAAAAATATGTTTGTCATCAAACAATGACTTTTATTTTGGAACATGACTGTGTTGATCGGTTGGTCGATTGTTTGATTGATTGATTTCGGAACATAATCTAGAAATGTTATTGATTGATTGACTGACTGATTGATTGATTGATTTTCAGGTTTACGGAAAGCAATCAGCAGTCAACCGTGTTTAAGCAACACACAAAGTAAGTTCATGATTAAATGTTTAGAAATAATTGTAATCTGTACAGAGGGTGAATACAAAGTCAAACAAAAGAAAATAAAACTGGCTTTGCTAGAACTTTATAAAGGAAACACAATTTTAAAGATTAAAATGATACAGAGTAAACGTTGTTTAAAAGTAAAAAAAAAGAAAAGATTTTGATATGAATATTTTAAAACATACAAATTTCAATTAACTTTGTGAGTAATTGCGCATGATAAAAACAAATTTATACGGAAAAAAAAACGCTCGTATACGTAAATGTAAACGTCACACATTCTTTGTTTGTTTCAGTTTGGTCAATGATAGAGCCTATTGCAAAACACCAACTGCCTTGTCTGCATCGAGCAATAGCAGATATAAATGGTGCGAATTTCATACTTTATAATTATGATAATCAACGATAACACATTCGAAATATTGTGAAGTCTTATCTCAAAAATGTGAAGATTATCGGACTTTTTTAATGGCTTTTTTTTCTCTTGAAAAAAACAACAATGGAATGTTAAGAAACATTTTGGGTTTTTTATGAATGATCTATTCTTAAGACTGAGAAAAAGACATCTTGCATTGTAAATTTTCATCTTTTGATTGCGCTTTGAGACACCCCGACACTGTTAAGGTCTAATGGCGATTGTTTTAAGTACACTCGTGAATATAGACTTCGGGTGACCTTCCATGAAATTATTGATCGGATCTTAAAAGCAACTTCTGCATTTGTAATGAACACCTGAGTTATTTGCATTATGTGTTTAACAACGCTTTTGTTATGGTTAAGAGCATGTGAAATTTTCGTTCCAATAAATGAGACGCGCCATAACAAAACCAACATTATAGGGTTTTCAAGCGAACAACATGGATCCTGATCAGACTGCGCGGATGCGCAAACGCAAACGCATCATTTTAGTTTTGTCATGGCGCGGCCCAAATATTTTAACAGGGCACTCTTTAGTTGTCATGTATTATATGTTTCACGAGTACTTTTTCAACAGTTGTAATTGCGTGCATCTTTGAAAAGTTTATTACCTTTTCCTTCTCAATGTTTGACAGTAATATCTATTAATTTATATTGTGTATGTTATTTCAGAAACCTACATTACAGTTAGACATAATTAATTTGAAGTTTAGAAAATATGTATATAAAATACGCTTATTTTTAGCTGAAGTTTTTGGTATGGATGATCATGGGGAACATTGTCAATGCAATGGCAGCTTTCAGAAGACAATCATCACTATAATACGTAAGATGAATGTTATACTAGTATCAAAAGGAGTTAATTAACTTAATATTAAAATATCACATTTAAAGTACAGGCTACTTAGCATTTGCCAGTACTAATAAATAAACATGTATACCCATACCCTGTAACATTATGATGATGACGATGATGATGATAGAAATGTTCAATGATTTATTATATTCCAGTCAGAAAATGAAGTAGACGATATTGACATAGCAAATTTTTATCAGTAACACCAAGCAAAAGAAATAAATAATTAGCAAATAGTCAATGAAAACAAAAAACTTTAAAAAAAAAAAAAAACACTTTATAATAGCCCCATTCTTTTTTGCCCATGTGCTTTTCCAGATTTTGCCCTGTTTCATTTAGGCGGCATTATATAGTTGGTCATTTTTATTGCTTCGTTCCGGTAACGTGTCTGTCCGTTGTTTATTTGTTAATTTTTCATATTCATATTTAATTCATTACAGTTTGTTTTGAACAAGGTATACGGTTATGAGATATGGATAAATTATATGAATAATATGAAAAATAGGTTTATTTTAATACCCGAAACATGCAAATTTTTACACTTTACTTGAAACATTGTTTTAACTTCCATGTTTTTATTTTTTGTTTTTTTTTTCAACAGGAATTTATGTAAAACGTAAATGATACAAAATACATTTGATTGTTTGTTAAGGTTTCTTCTTTTATCCTCATATTCTATCGGTTTTGCCCATTCGATTACGTTTCTTCTTTCTGTTACGTTGTATTGAAAAGTTGTTTTTTTTCTTTCGTTTTTGTCCTCTTTACATATCATTTTGTTCAAATGAGATATATTATTTCTAACACCAGCTGGTCTAGCAGATCACAATGGGGAATGTATTAGATGGAGTCCTGATTGTTATTGTAAGTTTATTTTATTTTTGTTTAAAAAATAATTATGCATAATTTTGCTTTACTTTTAATAAAACACTTATCATAAATGGCTTGAACTAAATGGTAGCTAGATCTAAATATAAAAATTATAAACTTCAAACTTAACATTATACTCAGCAGATTTTCAACAACATTGGGGCTCTGTCAGTGATAGATGTTTTGAAAACTTACCATTTTGAGCTTGCTAAATAGGTAGAGCTATTGCACTCAACCACGCGTCACGCTTTAGATACATTTTTTGCGTACAAGTTGTTATTTCCAAAACTACTAAATGGTATTGGTTGAAACCTCACATTCTTAATTGAAAGCGTTACAGGGGTCAAGATCTAAGTTTTATAACTCATATTGGACTGTAACAGAACTTTGGCATTTTTTAAATTAATTCTTTATTATCCAGGTTCTTGTTCAAGAAAAGTCGTGCACGTTGTCTTTTTATCATAATTGTGCTGTTGATACCTGTACTTAATGACCGCAATGTTTCACCGGTTATAAAGCTTTTTGCGAGCTTACATATTCAAATATTTTTCGAGCAGACGATGATCTTATGGCTGGGCAAATGGTAACGAAAAATTGCATTTAATTTGTTCCAGATCTGTTCGATTATTTCTACGTTATGTATGAACAAAGGGAACATAAATCACCGTGTCGCACACACCATCATGGTAAAGTCTGACATTATTATATCAGTTATAACTATTTAGTTTTCTTGAAAAAAAAAATTAATCAGATATGGACCATGAATAAGGTATACATGTATAAATGTATTTCAATAAAATAATGGTTAATAACAGTAAAGATACAAATATATTACACTGTTTGTAAATCGATTTATTCTGAATATTTAAATGCAAAGGAAATGAAAGAATTCAAAGGACAAATAATCAAATGAGGTCGCCTTGATTAAAATAATTAAGCTTTATTTACAACAAAACAGAAAAAATATTGCAACGTTTTTTTTTTTTGGGGGGGGGGAGGGGGTGTTGTTTTTTTTAAATTTAATTTCTTGTGTCTACTCGATAAATTATGAAAAATGGAAACGAATCAATGACTTTATCCCTAATGTACTTATAACATCGTTCCCCCCACACACACACACAATAACAAAACTGTTGTCCCTATGATCAAATTTCTTCAAGGCATCTATAGTTTTTTTTAAACATTATGAGATTGTATTAATTTTTCATAGACTATATTAAAATTTCATGGACTGTTTTAATTTTTCATAGACTGTGGTCAATTATCATAGACTGTGTACATTTTTCAAAGACTGTGTTCATTTTCATAGTCCCTATTAATTTTTCAGAGACTGTATTCATTTTTCATAGACTCTATTAATTTTTCATTCTTTTACAAGTTTGGAGACATTTGAATGGTATACCGGATTTTAGACTGAACCTACAACACTATCTGATACAACATCTAAATCGTAAGCTTCTGTATACTTATTCATTTACTATTTATCTTATTGACATACTGCATTAAGTTATGATGTATATTAAGAAAGTGCTTTAATGTCATTAATTAAGTGCTGAAGATTTGAAGTTTTAGTTATTTCTGTTTAGATATATTAATCATTTATATACATCACTTTAAATTAAACTTTCTCAGAGAGATATTTCATATTAATATGTAGTAAAATGTTTGGCTGCAATGTCCATTGGTCGACTATTGAGCTTCATCCCAATGGTTAAGCTTTGCATTTTTGCATCAATTACCACGTTTCGAATATTTTACAACAATGACAGTATAGAGCTTTCTCTCGGCATCTCCGCAATTGGAGTTTCGTTTTATGTGATTCAATTTGGCTGACAATCAACTGGGTTTTTTTAAAGACCGAATACCGAGTTTTGTTCCCATAACAAAATTCCGAATTCATTAACTTTTATAACTATGATCAAGTTTTGATCTTTTAAGTCGCACAATGAGAAATGCTTGAAATGACTTATATATTCAGGTACTTCCTTTACTTTGGTCAAGCATACATGATGATTATTATTATTACCCCTTCACTTAAAAGCGAGTCAATAATTTACTCTTGAATTAATATAGCATTCGATGTATCTAAAATTGATTTCTTTCAATTATTAAATAAGTAATTTGTATTTATTTTCAACAGAAACATATTCAGCGGGGCGTCAGGATACATGTGCTTGCAAAGTATGTGACTAATAATGTACTTTAATAAGTTAAGTTTGTTTGTTGCCGAGTTGCTAATGTCGTTAACTTAGAACTACTTGTCCCTCACCTCTGTTGGTTCTAATCTTGTCAGGTACTTTGGATTCTTTCATGTGAGGAAGATTTCCAGCTAGTGCTTCTACTCAGGTGCCCGTTCGTGCCTAAAATAATACAAGAATGGGCACCTAAAGTTTACCTGCTTGCTGATATTGTAATGATTTAGACCTTTATTCAAGTGACTTTGAACTTCATTGAATAATCCTTAAGGTGGCTCTATATTATTTTATGTTTTGTTGTTGTTTTTTATTCAGGAAACTGTATGTGGGTGTTTTATCACCTTCAGTGATAGTTATAGTTGAATCTGTTTTTCAGGACAATCGTCTAACAACAAAAGTTTCATCAACACCTGCATCTACTACTTTGATGACATCAACAACGCTAAAGACATCCACTGTAAAGACATCACCTTCCACAGATCTTATATTCACGACTACTTTACCCAGAAGTTCTTCAGATACAGCTACTCCTTTAGTTACCACAAAAGGTATATAAGCATTTGTTTCAACTAATCTAAACATCTTAAGCTTCTAAAATCGATGCGTGTCGTTGTTGGCGTCGTCGTTGCCGTCGTGCCAATACTTACAGATTACCCATTATTCAAACATTAAAGAAATTCTTGTATGACTTTAAATACTTGCTTATCTTGACAAGGTGCAGGTGTTTGGAATTATGCCCAATTTTAACTTACAATTTTTGTCAAATATTGTGATTTGAACAGACGAGCATTCATACCGCATGCGTGGCTCTTATTATATTTTTATGTCACCTGTTTCGATTACAATGTAGCCTATTTCTCAGTTTGAGGGTATCAACACAAAACTTAAATATTTACAATTATCATGAAAAGATGTCATTGTAAGCTAAGGGACATAATCCTGAGCGCAATATTTTAGGAGGTTTGCTCTTTTTTTACTGTGGAATACTTTTTTTGCTATATTAGACGAGCCACAATATTGCATGCTGTGCTCTTGTTATATCACCATAAGTTAATTTTTATATTATCACAAGCATATAACAGATTTCTTTCCAATTTTTTTAAAAATTCTGATTCAGCAATGTTTTGAGGAAGTTCCCTCACATGAATCCGCGTTGAGTAATCCGTTACAACTCTAGGTAGCATGGAAAGCATGCACCCCAATATTTTCTTGTTTTTTGAAATGGTACAATCACATGTCACATGAGAGAAGCAAAATTATGAAGGATGTAGGGATGCTGTAGCAAGGTGCCACCTTCTGCAAGGTTGGTGCGACGCTTGGTGTGCACCACACCGTCATCACCAGAACATGGGAGAAATACCAGCTACATGGTACACTCACCAGGAGGACTGCTGGAGGCGTTAAAGGGTCACAACAACAGCTCAGGATCGGTTTTGGTCGTTCATTCAGGCACGTCCTGCAAGGTTTGTGGCAGTGACATCTCTTCCAAATGACTTGCTTATGCTGCGGGGTCTGTGTTTCCATGCATACGGTACTTACAAGGCTGCATGTAGGTAATTTGAGGTCGAGAAGACCTTGCATACTATCCCCTTGACGCGTAGATATCACCAGGCCCGTTTGGAATGGACCATGCAACAGTAGAGACACGTTCCGTTCACTGATGAATCCAGGTTCTGTCTAGACTTCACAATTAGGCGTGCTAGAGTCTGGAGAAGACGAGGTGAACGGTTTCAGGCTGCAAATATTGCTGAGCATGACTGCCACGGAGATGGGTCAGTTTTGGTGTGGAATGGTATCAGCTGGGATTGACGAATCGGCCTGATTGTGCTTAGTAGAGGTACATTGACAAGTCAGCGATACAAAGACAACATCCTAGACAACCAAATTAGGCTGTTTGCTTGAACAGTCGGCGATCAGTTTATAAACTGGACAATAATGATCACCCCAAAGGGGGGTCCAGGACCACCTAAAGAGGGAGTCTATTGAGCGCATTGACTGGCCAGCTCGCACACCTGACTTAAATCCAATATAACACATGTGGAATGAGCTGCAGGTTAGAATTTCAGCTTGTCAGCTGCAACCCAGAACCATCCAGGAGCTTGAAGCCATGTTGGTCAACGAATGGGCAGCCATACCCGTTAGAACGACCAGAAACCTAATAAGGAGTATGAGAAGGTGCTGCCAATCTGTCATTGATAGACACGAGCCACACACACGGTATTAAGTCTAATACTGTAAACAAAATAAAACATTTTAAAGATATACTACTATAAATATATTCGACTTCTTTTAAAGTAGATATGTTATGTTTTTAACTCTACACACTATAGGTGGTCACAATATGAAAATATAGTGTCATTAAAAAAACTGGCAGTTTTTTTAAGAAAAGACCAACTTAACTTGACCCGTAATAGGGAATTCAGCTTTCCATACATAGTTGATTCATTATTTTATTCAAATTAAACATATTCAGTAAGAATTTCATGGATTTCGTACGGAAGAGCATTAGTGCCAGGTGTATGTTTTTTATTAACTCGAAATTTCGAGTTATTAACATTACAAGAATGGCCAAAGTTATTAGTTAGATGGTATAAGATATAATAGGCAGTGCCTTTGAACGATGGAGATGGAGAAACGGGTGCCTGGACAAAAACTATTGAAATTTAACTTAAACTTAGTAATGGCATGTACACACCCGACCTAAAAAAAAACAAGGCTTCCTTTAATTTGTACGTTCAGGCGTTCTTCAGACGTTGTATTGTATCCCATCTGTTCGAACATATCTTTTCACTAATCATATTCTTCTCATCCCTGTAAAAAACCGATCCTATACTTCACGTGTGGGACATCTGAGGAAAGTATCGCGGCGTGGCCAAAATAGGGCGTGCTGAGGCCTTTGTCAAAATTGTTGGACTGACTATATTTCTTGTAAAATCGGATGCTTTTATATTATTCCCAACATAAATATAACAACAAGTATCACTTTTATCAACTTTTATCAACACAATATCAAAGTATTAGTAAATAATGAATAATATTACAAAAACATTATTAGTATAAAGAAACGTGACAGACTAACTGGCGTATACACGCCATTTAAAACTTATTTAACACATGATATTGCACAGTTTACAATAGGGTGGGTTTTGGACTTGTTGTTTCTCCACATGATGGTTGTATGTGTGCTTAAGAAAAAGAAACACCCGGTTAACACAGAAATGTGGAAAGTGTGATTTTACAACCCCCCCCCCCCCCCCGCTCCACAAAAAAGCGAAGGATATGTTCAGTATGTGTGGACAATTTGACCCTATAAAATTATTCTGTTAAATAAATGTTAAAGGTGCTCTGTCAATGTGCAACAGCTACACACGAAAGAAAATATCTTGAATTAAATCCTTGCTTTCACCGGCAAGCAATGAAAGTCGTGCAATGTTAGTCGAAATTTCGAGTTAGTAAGCCGAAATTTCGAGTTAATAAGTCGAAATTTCGAGTTAATAAGTCGAAATTTCGAGTTAGTAAGTCGAAATTTCGAGATAAGTAACTCGAAATTTCGAGTTAGTAAGTCGAAATTTCGAGTTAATAAGTCGAAATTTCGAGTTAGTAAGTCGAAATTTCGAGTTAGTAACTCGAAATTTCGAGATAAGTAACTCGAAATTTCGAGTTAGTAAGTCGAAATTTCGAGTTAGTAACTCGAAATTTCGAGTTAGTAACTCGAAATTTCGAGATAAGTAACTCGAAATTTCGAGTTAGTAAGTCGAAATTTCGAGTTAGTAACTCGAAATTTCGAGTTAATAAAAAACATACACCTGGCACTAATGCTCTTCCGTAATTTCGATACATTTCTAAGATAAAAAATATTCTACCTAAAGATGTGCATAGTATATCTTTAACAAATTTGGAAAACACGCTGCATGTTCTGAAATCTTCAAAGAGGGGGTCATCCTCTTCTCTAGCACAAAATCAGTGTAAAACACATTTATAGGGTTAAATTCGTCCTTCAGTTGAATTGATAAAACAGTAAATCAACATTTAAAACCTTTTGTACGGCGTTAATAAAATTATCCCAAAAAATATTCACACTCAAACATATGGTGCTTAGCAAAAGTTGAGTAGTATATATCATGGTATGTACAACATATCTGTTTGTATCTTGAAACAATAAAATAATTGACTATTTATATCAATTACTTATTACTTATTGATTACTTATGTTACATGAATAATTAACAATTTCACATCACTGTTTACAGCTAAATAAGAAGCATTTTGGGCACAAAGATTCTAGAAAGGGAAGATCTCTTAAGACGAATAGCAAATAAATGCAAATAGTTGAAATAGAGATGTAACAAGACTATAAGCGAAAGTTGAAAATGCAACATCTTTCACGTGTCTTTAAATATTTGCATAATTAGCAGTATTCCTCAACACTAAACCTACTGGAATTTACGTGTTCATACTTTGCGTTCACTTATCAATTGTGCAAAGTTTGTTCACGTATTTGAGTCTCTACTTCAAAGAACTCTTTATCTTGTTCTTCCTGATGTTCAGCATGACTCTGTGCACTAAGTTGACATGTGCTTAATAACTGCTTGACTTATCATTACAACGAAGACACATTATCAGCTAAAATACATTTTTGACTTTTTTATTTACATCAGGAGTTGTTTTGTTAAATATTGATTATAACTTTGTTCGTTTTAAAGACGTTTTCGTCAAATAAATATTTTCACTAGAACGTTTCTTTGAAACAAATTGATAAATAATTGGGGATCACAAGCGAGCTTTTTGTTCTTTAATTCATAATTTGGGTTTTTATTTTCTTTCTGGGCCTTGTAAAAATGTGCAGAACTACAATCAACGTCTTAAATTAAATGGATTTGTTTTTGCCTTGAAAATTGAGATAATTTGTTTTGATAAATGAATATACATTTTCGGACTAATTTATTTGTATTTCAGCTTTTCCAGCATGCATGAAGTATGAGGTTATTTCTGATGTCGCAAGCTCAAAATACGAATCCAATTCAGATGCCCGACAATGTCCTTCAGGCAACAAAACTTCACACGAGGCTCTTGTAATAGCTAACTGTAATACTGGACCAACAAATACTTGGACGAAGGGCGCAAATGTAAGTAATTGAATGTAGTGAGGACATTAGTTTGTCTTAAAGCATACTTACTTTTTGTATTCTCTCTAAAAATATTAATACGGATTTTACGAAATATCATTAAGGGAATAGAATACTGCAGAATGGAATACACCCTTCACTCGCAAAATATCTTAAATAGACTAGTCCATCTTTCAATCTTGATTAAACCATTCAAAAGTTAAGAGGGTAAACTAAAACAAGTACTGATTGAATAGAGCATTGGTGCAATCTGTCATAGTCTGCACTGGTTCCGTCTGTATATTTCCTTTCTGGCAACAAACTATGGATTCAAAAGGTCAATTGCGAAACCCCAAAAATAATTCAACAGCTTTATACATGTAATTAAATTTGAAAGGCAAAGTTTGCTTCATGAATCTTACATTTAAAAGAAAAAACAAAGCGTCAAATCTGTTACGTTTTTATACAGGTGATGTCTGTATGTTCATCGCTTCCCTCCTACACACCAGTTGCTTCAATATCCAGTGGAAATACAGGACTAAATTGGGACAGATCAGGAATATTCATAAGTTGTTTAGGCAACGGATTTAAGGTGAATATGTCATAATTTTGATCTAATTTAATGATTGTATTGAAGATTAGTTTGCTGATTTTTTAGTGAGAAACACAAATGTGTAGTATTTGTCTCTAAATCAGGTTTAACCCTTTCACTGCCATAGGGACGGCTTAAGCCGTCCCTGTTATTTTCGGCGTATTTGCCATATGGACGGCTTTAGCCGTTTCTATAATAATAATAGTAATAATAATAAATTATTAATAATAATAAAAAAATTATAATAAATATAAAGAAAATTATACCATCGACAATAATTATTATTATACTAACAGATTTGGAAACATATATAATTATTATAATACATATAACAAATGATAATAATTATATTAATTAATAATATAGTAATTACTTACAAAATCCTTTGGCAAATAGGTGAACAATAAAACAATAACCCTCTGGCAGCGAAAGGGTTAAGATGTTATTAGTAAACTTTTTGACTTTCAGTTTATCCGCCAATTTTCGTGAAAATTCGGTTTCATCCGCTAACAACCATTCGTTGTATTTCGCACATATCCATCAATAACTTTAGGGCCTTACTAAATACAAATAAATATGATTTATCTCTTACCAGGCAGTTATTATAAAGATACAACGCAGTGGTAATTTGTGAACTTTCAGTGTATTAGTTAATTTCGGTGAACATTCGGTATAAATCGCCAATTAACGTAATCGTTTGGTCAATTCGTGTATTTCCTTTAGCATTCGTTACGTTTCTTTCAGAATCTTCGGAATTACCAGTATCAAAAATATTTTGTCAACATGTTGCTTATGTTGTACATTAAAACTGTAACATATTTACTAATTTTAACAAACTTAGGAGATTTTCAATCTTTTTCGAATGTCAATAACTCGAAATATTTTTACGTCGAGTATTTGTATCGAAAACACAACTGCATCATTATCTTCATTGCTTTGGAATGTTACTATTTATTTTTTAAAAAAAATAATGACAAAAAACAGACTTGTTTACTGAGAAACAACTAGCTAAGCTTCTCATGTCTTTGTATTTTACAGGTCTTAGTCACTTAATATTGCTTAGAATTAAATACAATCATTATAAATTATCAAGAATACAAAACTAAGACAAAACGGTGATTTCAAAGAATTACAATCGAAATATTCTAAAGTCATTCGGGTATCTTAAAGTATTGGATACAAAATGATTGTCTTTCATTACAGATAGCTTATCAAGACTGCGATACGACGCCGACTTTAGCTCACATTATTAGTGGGAATGGAACCGGAGTACGCGATCCATACAATTATTTTGTCATTTTGAATTAGACCAAACATTCATGTTATGTCGGATTAAAAACATCGCTTACAGGCTTCTATCACTTTCTGTTTTACTTTTGTATCGTTTTGCCTAATCTCACCGGAACGAAACAATATACAAATATTCTTTGTCAGCCAAATTGCCAAAATTTATGTATCCATACAGATCTACAACCAGTTTAAATCATTTTTTTTTTGGGTATGTGTGTGTTATTTATGATATTAATCGCAATAGATAAGTTGCTAGAAAAAAAAACATGTACGCGGCCAAGGTCGGATTAGCATTCGTCAGACTGAATATTTGCTGCATGCAGGTTTTGCTGATTCTGGCCAGTTAAGTCCAGTAACTGTACATGAAATATATTTTCAAAATTCATCTTCCAAATATTTTTTCCTTTTTTCTGGCCATGCATCGGCAGCTTCCTGTGTGTTCATAATGGCTTGGTCTATATCATCCAGTACATAGTTAACATAGATATACTTATTATTAAGATGGGTGTTTTCGTTTAATTTCTTAAAGTGGCATTATGCTTATTTTTTCGCTGTTGGTTTGAATTAGTAATATTTACAAGAGACGCACTATTATATGGTGATTTACTAATAAATGAAAAAGAAAAATATTTAGGAATAAAAACAAAAAATACCTAAATTATAAAAAAGAGACCCGCGTTTTTAGAAAAATGAATGTTACAGATATATTCCGAACGATAGTTATAGAAATATCCGAGGGTTTCGTAGATTATTGATTATATTCCATAATAAAATATAAAAATTGAACACACACAACTGTGGCAAAATGTTAAGTTATTTTGACTATGTGCACACACCATTTTCACTTGGATTGACATAATGCCATTTTAATCATGGGAAAATTCTTGTGTACTACGTTAGACAAACCATTAAAGTGCTTTCTTACTTTTTCATAATAATTATAATGACAAATTGATGTACCGATCATCCCTTTTTTAAAATGAACAAAATCTGTTACTGTAAAATATATAATACACCAATCTGAAGCCTTATATGAGAAAGTTGAAAAATAAGTCACTCTAAGAGAGTTTCTGGAAAGAAAAGTACAAGTTGTCTTCACGTGGCGACTTAAGCAATATATCCCCAGGATAATTTCTGTGAAAAAAAATTATATTTTAGGCAAAATGTCGGGATATGTACAGAGTAAATAACCTTAATCAAATCCAAATAATTCATATCTTTCGTTCATTTCAACATTGTATATATTGAATGCATGTATATCATGTACTGTGTATGATCATGAATAAAACATGTTGAAACTAAACAAACCCAGAGCGACCTTGATATTTGATGTTAGGCCGCATGATATTGACTGCATGTGCCAAAACAGGTACAATCATGAGATGCCTAATTGCATAATTGTAGATTATAGTATTTTTAAGTTCATGGGATATCTCTAACACATTTTAAATATTGATTGATTTTGACAATTATTGTACTTATTTATCTGAACATTCTTTAAAAGAGAATTAAACAGGTAGTTAGAAATCGTTTTTTTTTAATCCGAAATAGTTTGAAAATGCTAAATCTCCAAATCCTCCCTGCCCCCACGCCCCCACCCCTGTAGCACATGCTGAAGCAGTATTCAATCTCGTAAACTAGAAGAACACCTATAGCAAACAGTGCCTGCTTAGCACAAGGATTTATTACATAAATTTGAATAGGGCAACATTTTACAGCAACCATGACTTGATACGTGCCTTTGAGAATTTATTTTCTGGAAAAGTGATGAGTTTTTAATGGAAAGCGACCTTGAGAAATGGTTAATAAGTAGTCAGTAGTAAATATTTTAAGTATTAGTCAACTGAGACATTAATCACTTACTTTAAATTGATAATAAAATAATGAATTGTTACAGAGATTAACAGGCCCGTGCCTTTCCATTCATTTTACCTTATATATTTTACTGTAACAACACATGTTCGCTAATATAAGTATAATAACATCCAAGGAAAAATTAATGCCACAAAAATCTATTTTAGGGGAACATTTTAACAGTTATTTTGCATGAGGAAGTCACCAAATATTAGAAAGCCACTGAGAAATATTTTAACGTTGCATGATACTTGATTAAGCCTTAACGTGGCTTATACGGTGTGAAAGTCAATGAAAGATAACACTTATTTGTAGAGGTCAATATATTAGGACATATGTTCGAGATATTCCTTTTAGAATCATGGAGTACAAGATATACTTTCGTGAGTGTTCTATTGTGCTGTTCTTTATTTCTAATTGTTGTTGTTTTTTGTTGTTTTGTTTTTAGAAAAAGACCATTTAAGTGATAGCAATATATAATAACGACACACATCATTGATTACTTACTAATTAAGACTCTTAATAATCATGTCTTATCTTAAATAAATTGAGTTTCTTTTTTACAAAAAAAAAATATATATTTGGATATTTTAACCAAAGCTTATATAGGCATTTTTTTACCGTAAACCTACTGAGTTCGTGTGTTGTCAGTTCTATACTAGGGCCAATGACTTATCACTTCCAGTTCAAATATATCAGGGTGGGTGATCACGTGAAATTTGTTACGGTAATATTGGGTCAATTCTACATATATTACAAAAGTAGCTTCCCTGAGGCTGACTTACACCGTCGTCTAACTTCAGATAAGAACTGTCTAATAGGCCTTAATCCTAGGGTTCTGTGAGCTTTTCTGTGTTCCCTGAGGCTTTTGGTTAGCTAAAGATAATAACCCTCTAAGAGGCCCAATAGTGTGGATTGTGTGACCCTTACTGTGTTCCCTTTTCATGTATGCTTTCAGAAATTTGTTACACCACTTTACTTCAAATTGTCATCAATATATTGCCGCGTAGGAAAGTCATTGGTGTAGCCATTAGCGGCCGTAAACAAATGTCACCTGATCACCCAATTGCGTTAACATTATGCCTCCATTTGCCCCATATCATACATTACAAGTTTCAGCAGGCAAAAAAAATGCCAATGTCATTTATACAGGTTTGACGAAAAGTCAAATGTTGCTATAGCAACTATGCTAAAATGTATAAAGGCATAGTGGTTGATTTACTTCTTTATTGTCGTTTTACTGACAATGTGATTTGCATATGACTACATTATATTGTATCAGACAGCAGTTTTAGGAGATAAACAATGTGTATACATATAATTTACAAATAGAATAATTGGAATCATAGATCAACTTGAGAGTGAAATCAGTGTTAACTGTTTTGTCTTATTTCAGTGCTCTTTGGAACTGCGGCATTTCTTCATCAGATTTCGGCATTTTTGTGGTTTTTCCGTAAGCTTCTTCACATTGTTTTTTCATATAGTCGTGGTTTAAATATATTTAAAGTTTATCGTATATTAGCAGTTTCCCGTAAGAAATTTATATATGAATCATTTGACTTTGTAAATAATGTTTTTCTATACCAGAAGTCGATCAGAAGGTATTAAGGAATTTATATACGATATATGTGTACATTTTAGAATTGCAATGTTACCTTGTATATTGTACTCGTAGTTGAATTATTTTTGCGATCATTGATTTTTTTCTCAAATTTTACCATTTGTTATAACCTTTAGAATAATATGAAAATAAAAGGAACACATGGACGTCTATCTAAACATTCGATTTAAACATGTTATATTTCAGCCAAACCTACACAAAGTCCAGCATGCGAAATGGTTCCGGAATATTTAAGTGAGTATCATATAAGATTTTATGAAAGGGTTAGATGCAAATTATGAACCTATACATGTTTTAATGTTCCTGAGTGAATGTGTAGCCAAAAGTATTTGTAGTTCAAATGACACTGTTTTTATACCCCGGACATACAGTCTGTCCGTGTGAGGTTAACATAAAACCGGCAAGTTTGATTTATATTTATCTTTAGTCTTACCTGTACCAGTGGCTACTTACTCATTAATTCAAAAAACATGATATAACCTGGTTGCTTAACTGTACCATCCCTTGTTGTCACTTCGAAAATAGGGCCTGGTATGGTTAATTTATTCTGCCAAGTTGTATTTATCTTAAATTCTTTTTAAATTTTAAATTACTTCATGTATTTAATGATGCCATCCATGTTTGATAGATAAATACCTTTAAGGGTCCTCTTTTTGTGGAGTTAGAGGTAACTGGTGTATTTCTTTTTTTCAAATATTGCTCACACATCGTGTTATTTTAATGGACGCATAATATGTACACAATTGTTTATACAGCCTTTGCCGGCGGGGGATATAGAAAAAGTCCATCCTTCCGTCCGTCCTTCCATCTCACATTTTTTCCGGAGCATAGCTCAAAAGTATTTGAGGTATCAACTTGAAACTTCATAGGTGGATAAATCGTATTAAGGAGGTGTGCAATGCACAAGAATAATAATTCTTTTCTGCATAATTTTTCAGTTATTGCCCTTTGTTATCTTTTAAACTTAATTTTTGTCCAGACATAACTCAAAAAGCCTTTGAGGTATCAATATGAAACTAAATAGGTGGATAGATCTCACTCAGGAAGTGTGCAGTACACAAGAGTGATAACTCTACCCTTCATTTTAGTTAATGCCCTTTGTTATTTTTCACCTGAGTGGAGCATAACTCAAGTCTTTGAGATGTCAACATGCAACTTCATAGGTATTTTTATCTTATTGAGGAGGAATGCTGTGCGCAAAAATGACAACTCTACCTTTTATAATTTTTGAGTTATTGCCCTTTGTTATTTTTTATACTTTTTGTCCGGAGGTAGCTCAAAAAGTGTAAGAGGTATCTACTTGAAACTTCATAGGTGAATAGATCTCACTGAGGAGGAGTGCAGCACACAAGAATGATAACCTACCCTGCATTATTTTTCAGTTATTGCCCTTTGTTATTTTTAGCCATCAATATTCACATAGGTTTTTAATCTGTAATCACTTCAGCCATCAGTTTTTTGTTACCAAAAGACCTCTAAAATTAAATTATTTTGCTCTACTACATATACATTCTTCCAATGAGCAAACACATTCGGCGGGGCCATGTTAACATGGCTGAGGAAGATAACTTGCGTGGTGTTCTTCTTTTAGATTTAGTAAAAGGTCAGTGGGTCAAGGTCTAGGCTGCCAAAATAGATTTGTACACATTTGCTTGCACAGCCTTTTTTACCGACTTATGTTTTTCATATTTGGAAGTAACATACCTTGGACTGTCAAGTGTTGTGATTCACAAGGCCAAGATCACCTGTGCCAACACTTATCCTTACATCTTTTCTTATACACCCTTTGTTGTTTATTTTTACCAATGGAAGCAAGATACATTAGGCGGTTCCTCTAAGTTTAGACGGAGTTTTGAATAACTAGTTTCAAGGTCAAGGTCTTGCGTTTAAATATTTTTGATAAACTTTATTTGGTTAATTGAATATTTCATCGGATCGCAATGTCATGACAACTTATAGTTTTCACAAAAACAAAAACAATACATGACTCTGAAGACATTTTAAATGACATAATAATTGACAAAAATATTTGATGCTATTAAACAAAGGATACAAAGAGAAAGACAGTTATTCCTTTTTTAATTTGACTGTTCGAAGAATAAGGAGAGCTATTGATTTCATCCTGGCGTCTTCGCCGCCGTTTGGTTACGTTTTATTTTTACTTGCAATTTTGTATCTCCGAAACTACTTGGGTCGAACGCATTGTCTAACGGACAACTCTTGCTATACTGATCAATATGGAATAACTATACAATTTTAACGAATGCATATACATCTGCTTAACACGAAATTTGAAAGGATACCCTTTTTATGTTTATAGATTTGAGACAAGCAATCAGAAGTCAGCCATGTTTGAGCAACACACAAAGTAAGGTTTTTTTTATAAAATATATAATCTTACTGGTCTCTAAAATGATTTGGGATGTATGGATGAATGTTCCATTTATTGCAAGGAAATATTATTAGCTTTATTTATATATAAAAAGAAAGAATGTTAAGCATTTAGATAGTGAACCTCAAAAAGTGTGCAAATATAAAAAATGTCATGAAATAAATGGTTTCAAAATATACGATTTTTGGACCATAATACATAGATTAATAAGAAAAGTCAGCCTCTATGAATAAAAAAGTAAAACCATTTTGCCATTTTAAGTCTTGATTTTTGCGTGATTGATCTCTTACAGTTTGGTCCATGCTTGAGTCTGTTGCAAAACACAAGTATGCTTGCATGCATCGTGCAATTACAGAAATGAAAGGTATGGTTATTTCATTTTGTTAGTTCACACCGAGGCAATAATGGATTTTTAAGTATAAGTAGAGAAGGCAGATCTCAGGTGGAACATCTCCGTGCATGATTTCAACACATGATTCGAATCACTAACATTCCGCTAGCTAGCTAGATATATTACTTACATAACATCATTCATAGTTTTTGGCGTGATTCCAACCCACATCAAAAAGGGACAAGCTGTTTGAAACCGTAATTTTTAAAGTTTGCCATGGAGGTCCCTTGCTTTGTGAATATTATGCAATAAGCTAATTTTGAAAAATTGAGATTCTATTTCACGTTGTTTGCTATACCTCAATTGTGATTAAAACTTGAAGCCCATATGAACAACTCTTACAAGTGGGAAAAATCCTGATATAAAATTACTGTGAAGGGAGAAAAGCTATATCACTATAGCGTAACACAATGTGAAGTCCATTGCTTAACCCCTTACTTCATATAGACGTGTTTTGACGGCTTTTCGACACACACACACACCCCTCCTTTTTGAGGCCTCAAACAGTAAACAATTACCCAATTTAGGCCCCAAACACTGTCTTTCATTTGCGAAACGTTGCTAGAAAGTGATTACTTTTTGGGCGCCGCCCCTTATCAGAAAGGTACATCAGATGGTTGCCAGAAGGGGGATGTGCCGCGTAACTACAAGTTGACAATGGAAATAAAAGTTGTATGCATATTTATCACGTGGGGGCGTAGCCCCTGAATATTAATCAGATTGCCAAGTGTTTTGATGCTCTCTCACTTTTGCACCATAGTCAAGCATTAAAGCACGTCCCCTGTTGTCACAATTTGAAACTGCAGAAAAAAAGTAACCAATCAACGAGCATCTGAATATTGTATTTCAATCGCTTTCCCTTTCCCTGCCGTCACAATAAGTAAACCCCACAAAAATTTAGCAAATCAATGGATATGCTCTGCAGTGCAGGTAACTTATACCTGTGCATGCATAAGATTTAACTCTGCTACATTCAACAGAAAGGTCCCGTAACTATGATACAAGTCTTAAAATGGCACGTTCGGCCACCGGATAAGACTAATGTGTTCGAACAATCCTTTACATAAGGTGCAAATGCTTTAATATTATCTAAAACAATGAATGTAATATAACAATAAATTCATCAAAATGACATTCAACATACGTTAAATTACGTACAATTTTAGAATTCCTCGAATGTATGTGTCATTATTGCTCGTATTTTTCGAAGAAAAAGTCGAGTAATCAAGTTTTCCACATTGCCGTTGTAAACAATTTTAATGTAGCCCATTATTCAAACATGGTAAATGTTATCAACATGAAACTTGAAATACATGCTGATCATGGCAAGGTGCAGTTGTTAGACAAGGAGAAAAGCTATAGTTAAATAATGTTGATCCTTTTTAACTTAGTATTTTTTTAATTGGTCGTGTCGTTGCACTTAACAGACGAGTTTTAACACCGCATGCTCTTGTTATTTCTGTTTTGCTATAACTATAACAATGGGTACATTTGTCTTATATTTTAGAGGCTAAAACGCTTTGAAAGATATGTGCATGTTATTTGTATTAAAACTCATTCTGTTTAGTTAATTTCCTATTTTAAAGTTGTATGTTTGTTTTTAGCGGATGTAGATGCTGCAGAAGATCATGGAGAACATTGCCACTGCAATGCTTATTTTCAGAAGACCAATTTTATGAACATACGTAATTATGATAAACCATATAGTGGTGGATACTTAAAATTCATTTTTTTCTTAATTGCAATAAGTAAAATTGTTATATTAAGTTGTCATAAGACTTTGTTTTTTTTTAAAGTACGCCTCACTTATAACCGTTAACAAATCGTTTTAGACCTATTAATATACAGTATATATTAAACATTAAATTATACCCAAACAACCCTTACAGCCAATAAACAACAAGGTCGTTGATACCAATCATTTGCATTTTTTAATATTAATTTATCACTTTCTTATATTTTTGTCGGATTTTTTTCTTTTTCTCTAATTACATTTTTCATTACACAGTTATGTTTATATATATATATTCATAACATTAAGATTTAAATTCGTTTTATTTTTAAACATTGTTTTAACATTTTGAATTAACCAAGTTGCTTTCATCTGGTATAAGTTTGTTACACCATTACACATTAAAGATTAGATTATATTTTTTATCAGCTGGTATTGCTGACCAAAGCGGGGATTGTATTTTCTGGAACCCGGACTGTCATTGTAAGTTGTATTCATATTTATTATCCCTTTGTCGTAATCTCGTCATGGATTTTGGATTCTTACACATGAGAAAAATTATGCAGGTTACTTACGGTACGTCGGTGGTAATGCTCAGGTACCGGCTTGTGATTGAAATTATGCACGGAGAGGCACCTGATTTCTTCCTCCCTCGTACCAATAAATCTGGAAAATTGCCATTTGACATCATGGGTTAGTGAGACTTAAAATCAAACCAAACGTATGCTCTAACGTCATTTTGATGACCCTGGTGCTTTTGCAAAAATTATAAAAAAAAAACCTGGCACGAAGATATTTTGAAACGAAAGTGAGTTGATTCATCTTTATGTATAAAAGTGATATAACATTATAAATAAAAAGAAACAGAGAACTAGTTTATTTATTCTCATAGTTTATTTTTGTAATAAAATAAGAATGCATGGCAGGTCTTTCATCATCAAATCTTAAATCTTATCATGCCTTCATAATAATGTCGGTGGTATTTAAGACCTAACCAACATGCTTTAGTTATTGTAGTTTTCGCCGACACTTTGAGAATAGATATGATCTTCAACTGTTCTCATGTTAGCTTATTTTTTATGCTCCCCATTGGGTAAGCATAAAGTCGCCGCTTTGTCCGTCCACCCGTCTGTCCGTCTGCTTTTCTTGTCCGGGACATAACTTTTAAACAACAAGAGGTATCAACATGAAACTTTGTAGGTAGATAGATCTCGTTGAGTAGGTGTGCAGTGCACACGAACTGTGACTCTGTCGTGCCTAATTTTTGAATTATTGCCCTTTGTTTATTTGTACACTTTAAAGTTTGTCCGGGACATAACTCTAAAACTATAAGAGTTATCAACATGAAACTTTGCAGATAGATAAATCTCATTCAGTAGGTTTGCAGTGCGCAAGAACAGTAGCTCTGAATATCAACATGAAACGTTGTAGGTAGATAGATCTAATTGGATAAAACTACAATGCTAAAGAACCTAAACACAGCCTTGTCTAATTTTAAAGTAACTGCCCTTTGTTAATTTGAACACTTTGAATTTTACCCGGGACATAACTCTGAAACTATAAGAGATATCATCACGAAACTTTATAGATAGATAGATCTAATTGAACAGAAGTGCAGTGCAAAAAGTCATAACTCTGCCATGCCTATTTTTTGAGTTTTTGCCCTTTGTTCATTTTTTATACTTTCCTGTGTTCAAAACCTTTTCGGGGAGCATCACATGGAATACAACATTGGAGCAGGCATTTCATTTTATTGCAACTTAATGTTTTGTTATTCCTAGCATGCTATGATAAAACATTTCATTTAATTGATTCCAGATCTGATGGGTTATTTCTATTTACTTATCGGACAAATCGAGCAGAAATCTCCGTGTCGTTCTCATCACCACGGTAACAAATTACCCTTCATATTTGAATAAATGAGAGTTGTTTGTTTTGTGTTTTGTTAATTTTATGTTTAGCTTAACAGAGGCAAAAGTTGAGCTATTGTTATCACTCACCGACCGTCGTCCGGCCTTTGTCAATTATATCAAAACTGCATAGAAGTCTTGAATTATTTTAAGATATTTGAAAAGTCAATCCATGCAAAAACGCCATGACAATTAAAAGAAATAACTTAAAGCTCGAGTTTAGATATATGACATAAAATATCTTCTAGTAGACATTCACAAATTTTTACAAATTTTAACCCTGTCGTAAAATATGAAAAACAAAATCATCAAGGAAGGGAGGCGTGCAATAAATGCAACCCCTACTCGATCTAGCAATACAGGACCACCGGCAAGGAGCCCAGCAGGACACAAAAAACAGGACAGGGCACAAGGCAACGCATGAACGGGATGATTACTATGATAATACATAATTGGTAATAAAAAAATGCTCTTCCCGGACGTCATTTCTTTTTAAACGCCCGTTTGAAAAACGGGCCGTATTATAGTTTTCCCCCTGACGGGCGGGCGATTTTGAGGACCATGACCAAGCCCTTGGTTCAAAATTGGCTCTATCAAAGGGTTTTCTTATATCTTTTTATTACAGATCTTAAATCAAAAGAGCTTCATATTTTGACAAATAACATATGTTAGTGAGCTTCAGCCAATTTTTTATGTGCATTTTAGCCCTGGTGTCAATTTTGGCCTTTTCTTGGATTCCTTAACTGAATATAGTATTATCCTCCCTATAACCAGGAGCCAAAACATTGTGAACGAAAAAACGCGTAGTTGGCCACTACACTGTGATCAAAGGATAAACCTTAGGTCAAAATCTGTGTTTATTTCATACGTATAAAGTGAAATCATTAGACTCATCTCTTCTGAAAGTATAAATTCTATAGCTTATATAATTAGCGCGACACATTGTCTAGTGGACAACTAGTATGTTTTAGCTCTCTAAGATGAGTTATTGAGATATCCCAATGTCCGGTGCCCTGTGTCCATTGTTATTATTTTCACTTAACCAACATCCGTTTTGACGGTTTGGTCAATTGTGATGACAATATACAGAAATTAACCTTGGAAGGTTGGTCTTATACAAAAAAACATTGCTCTAATGGGTCCAGTTCGCTTAACCAGATGGATAACAGAGCTGAAATAGATAAAAGGCATTTGCTCAACTACTTCGTAGATTTTGTTGAAATGTCGCAGCAATTATCAGAAAAAATCTGGATAAACAGTGATCCCTCGGAAGCATTGATCACAATTAAATTACATGAAAATTGTACATGAGGGATAATGAAAAAATATTCTACAATATCATCATCCCCAACTGAATAAAATACTTTATTTTATTTTTCACAAGTTTGGAAACATTTGGATGCCATGCACGCCCTTGGACGGGATATTTACTTAATTCAACATCTTAGTCGTAAGCTACTTTATATCTTTTCTGAACAAAATAGTACCTTTCTTACAATGTATGTTAATACAGAAAATACTTTAAATGCTATTAATAATACGAGTCATCTGGAGTAACAAACAAATAAAAAAAACAATTTCTTTTGTGGATATATAGAAATACTTAAAATTAATCATTTAATTGTTTTATTTAAAGTTATTTAACTTTAGAAACGAAGACGCTTTAAACATTCAAGTTAGCCTATGAATATCAAACTTAAAACGAATGTTTAACCTATAATGACCGAGATCTGAGCTACTTTCAGGACCGATTTTAACTTTTTTAAGTAGCGTACTTACTTACTTTACCTACTTCTCCCTAGTTAATCACTTACAACTTGCTTTGATTGTTGCAGTATGCATGTAGAGAGTCCCTTGACTGAAGAGCAACCGAATAATTTACTCAAGACTTTTCTCAAGTCTTTCTTTCTAAATTTGCACTTTTAAGTTCTTCAGACTCTTAATTCATTTTCTTTTTTAACAAACAGATACGTTTTCATCGGGACGACAGGATACATGTACTTGCAAAGTATGTGAGTACTAATTAACTGTTGTTTGTTTGTGAATGTATTGTTTTTCTATAAAACAAACTTTTAATGAAATAATGATATTGGTTGATGTGATTTTTGTGTCGCCTTGAAAAAGGCGACATATAGGGGTTACTTTTGTCGGCGGCGTCGTTGTCGGCGTCGTTGTCGGCGTCGTTGTCGGTGTCGGCGTCCCCTTAAGCTTGTCCGGAGCATAAGTCAGTCATTATAAGTCGGATTGACTTCAAACTTGGTATGCAGGCTTCTTACAATGACCCGAAGTGCAGTGCACAAAGACCGGTACTCTGCACTTCTTTTTTTGAGTTATTGCCCTTTTTTAATTTTCATACTTTATTTTTTTCGGGGCCATTTCTCCTAAAGTATAAAATCTATGGACTTGAAACTTCATAGGATGATAGATTTCATTAAGAAAAAGTGCAGTGCATAAGAACTGGTACTTTGCATTTCTTATTTTTTGAGTTATTGCCCTTTGTTAATTTTCATACTTTATTTTTGTCCAGGCCATTTCTCCTAAAGTATTAAAGCTATGGAAATGAAACTTCATAGGATGATAGATCTCATTAAGAAGAAGTGCAGTGCACAAGAACTGGTACTCTGCATTTTTATTTTTTGAGTTATTGCCCTTTGTTAATTTTCATACTTCATTTTTGTCTAGGCCATTTCTCCTAAAGTCTAAAAGATATGGACATTAAATTTCATAATATGATAGATCTCATTAAGAAGAAGTACAGTGCACAAGAACTGGTACTCTGCATTTCTTATTTTTTGAGTTATTGCCCTTTGTTAAATTTCATACTTAATTTTTGTCCAGGCCATTTCTCATAAATTATAAAAGCTTTAGACTTGAAACTTAATAGGCTGATAGATCTTATTGATAAGAAGTGCAGTGCACAGAAACTGCTGCTCTGTATTTCTTATTTTTTGATTTATTGCCCATTGTTGTTTTTCAAATATAATTTTTGTCCTGGCCATTTTTCCTAAACTATATTGTTCACAAGGCGACACATCCGACTCGCGGAGTTCTAGTTATATCTTAATATTAAAATGTTCTATAACGTTCAATTTCATTATCTTTTCTTTTCATATTTTTTTGCCTTTTTTTGTTATATTTTACATCACACAAGCAATGTAAAGGTCACACTTTCCAGCGTTCATTGAGGAGGAATACCTCATGCATTACGCCAGCCTCGGCCGAAATTCCTTGAGTGAGCTAGTTACTTAGCTTCAGCTTATGAAAAAAACTTAAGTTCCTGACAGAATTCGAGTCCACAGCATTGATGAGCTCATTTTTAGTTACTAGCTGTGAATAAAAGTATGGCTGTAAATTATGTAAAATCAAATGAAGCAAAATACACAGAAAACCTTTTTTCCTCAGGGATATTTAAAGTTTACCTTTGTTTTTAAAATGCTTTTCAAGGATAGTCGTCCAACAACATCAGTGTCATCCACTTCTATAAGGACATCAACGGCGATCACAACTACCCCTGTAGAGACCTCAAAAACGTCGTCATTTACCCAAGGTCTGATATATACTGCAACTTCACCCCATCGTTCTACAGATAAAAATATTCCTGAAATCACAACAAAAGGTATAATAACATAATTGAAATATTTGTTCTATCCTTTTCTTAAGCAACGAAAATTAAAATTAAGGGTCCCCTTTTATCCTTAGGTTCGTATATATTAGAATTTTATATAATTATGTATGATAACCTGTGTATGAAATTTGGAATATCAAACTTATTTACCATTAACAAAAACCGTTCCTTTCATTCTAACAAGCCAACAGAGAAATATTTTTCTTCATATAAAATCCCCATGCCGGCAGTGACATAAAAGAATGTAGTTGAAAATCGCATACTTGGTTTTATTTACTTTGGTAAAAAAGAGATAAGTTTAAAACTGCAACACCTCTATTATGACCCCCACCACCGAAATAGGCATTAAAATCTCCAATAAACATAATTCCTGTGCCCTAAACGATGATAATGGGAGGGAGGAATTAAATAAAAAAGGAATTTTGATTGTTTTGATGAATTAGATGGACCGATGTTGTAAAAATTATATTATATTATTTTTTATATTGTTGAAACGTAAATGATGGTTTAAAATGACTGTACAATTAAATAAAGACACATTATTTAAAAGAGATTGATCTGTTTACATTTCAGCTTTTCCTTCATGTAAAAAGTATGAAATTATTTCTGACGTTGCAAGCTCTAAATACGAATCCCATGCAGATGCCCGACTATGTTCCTCTGGCAAAAAGACGTCGCACGAGGCACTAGTTATGGCAAATTGTGATGCTGGGCCAACAAGTGCCTGGAAGACAGGCGAAAATGTAAGTTATTTAGTGACAGGAATAATGTAGACACTTGGTTTCTAATAGTTCATATCATTTATTTTTCGCTTTTTGTTAGAAAATGCCGTTTTTATAATTACCGCGTTGATTAAGAAGTTTATTTAATACTACAGACTACCAAAGATATCCACGCTTAAAGACAATTACGAGGAGCTTCTTCAATACAATAGATTTTACATTTTTATTCAAATTTAATTTGGGGTTTGTCTACCATCATATAGTTAGTAACACTAGCGCAAAGGTTATTCAGGTAGATTTTTCATCATGGGCTGTTATTGATAAAATAACTATAAATATTATTGATAAAATAAAACTATAAATTGATAAAATAACTATAAATTGATAAAATAACTATAAATTAATAAAATAACTATAAATTGATAAAAAAAGTAAACACTCGGATTCAATTTTGTAACAACTATCGAACAGGATAAAAAATGAAAATAAAATCGTGTAAATCGTTCAGGTTTTATACAGGTGATGTCTATATGTTCATCGCTTCCCTCTTACACACCGATTGCTTCAATATCCAGTGGAAATACAGGACTGAATTGGGGCAGATCGGGAATATTTGTAGGTTGTCTTGGTAACGGATTTAAGGTGAATATTAATGTTACTTTCAAAATTTCAATATAAGTAATCATAATACAATTTAGTTAGTACATAGTAACTAAATGTATGTTTCCTTTGTCCCTTCATTTAGAGGTTTTCACTTGGTTTATGTGCAATCATGCATGATAATGGCTCGAAAAAACTCGATATAACATAGCCATTATAGTTTCAAATTTACTAGTAAGTATGCATTCTATTTAATAGAAACGTACCATAGAATAACAGTGCATTCGTGAACGTGCGGGTACGTTGTCTTCAAACCACTTGCCCTTACCGTTTTAGGTCGAGTCCCGCAAGGGACTTTGAATTCTTTCATGTGAGGAAGCTATCCACCTAGCTACGGGGCATCCGAGGTACCCACTCGTGCATGAAACAATGAACAGAGGGGCACATGAGGTCTCTTTCCACCGGAAAATTAGAAATTCGCCATATGACTACTACTTTGTTGATGTAAACCGAAGCAAACACACCTTTTGATAAAAATTGATCGTTGATTTGTTGGGTTTGTTTTTTTAAATATATCAACATATATATGTATCTGGTTGTTCAGCATGGGTATATTCATAAAGCTATCATTCCCAGTATAAACTGAAGAGAACGGTAAGTAGGTTGGAGGAAAATGGCTTCGTTTAGCTTAACCCAAATGCATCTAAGTTCTGCTTGAAAATATGAAAATCATATGCGTTTTTAACGCAAGTAAAATATATATTCCGTATTAAGTAGTTTTCACCACATTCTTTGAAAATTGATGCCAATCACGTGATTTGTTACGTCATTAATTTGCTATCGCGGGCAGACAAAAAAGGTATACGAAGTGGCAATTTTTAGGGTATTTTATGTTTCGTTCCATATTCATCAGAAGAATTCCAGTAAAAACCTAAATAATTATTAGGTGTCATAATCTGTGATGACGCTTGATGCGTTCAAATTATAAATGTTTAACATTACAGATGGTGTATCAAGACTGCGATACGGAACCGAGTTTTGTTCATGTTATCCGTGGAAAGGGGACCGGAACGCACGATCCATACAACTACTTTGTCATTTCAAAATAGATACATTATTCATGTGGCTTTTTTGAAAAATGTAGCCTTCTCGTATATTAATACACATTGTTTTATATCTATCGTCTTGCGTTATCTTATTTACAACAAAATATTGGTAGCAAGAACTAATGCATATTAATCTACAGCCATCGTAAACCCTTATTCATTATTTGTTCTTCGTACATTAAATTCTCCTAAAACTCAAATTTAAAAAAGTTAACAGAACAAATACAAGTTATGTCAAAATTAAAACAAATATATTGCCAGCGACAAATTTTAATCACAGAAGGTGAGTTGTCTTTACAAATACAAATCTACAACCAGCATTATGTGTGCATTAAAATGAACACATAATAAATGGTTAACTATGTATACATTAGCGATTTACTAAAATCCCTATCATCGCACAGAATTTATACAAAATTATGGACTAACTATTATCTACAATTTTACATAATAAGGAACTTATTTAGATGCTCATGTTCTTAAAAAGCAACGAATGACACGTGAGTTATTCATAACCAGAGACATATTAAAATCATTGGCGGTTGATTCACCTCCCCAATTTTACTGGATACCTCACCAGTGATCCAACATGATTTTCGCGTCACCGGTGAGAGACAAATGACAATTAGACCATATCATTTGTAACGGAGACATTTTTGCCTTGCCCGAGGAATCAGCAGCCCGTGAATTACTAATCCAAATTTTTCTGTTATTTCTCTATTGTGCCTAGCGGGCAGGGTCGACCTAATTAAACACAAAGATGACACGCTGTCTATGAATAATAAGTAGTAAAAAAGTGAGAAAAAATCGCCGGGTTTCAAAGATATGCATTCTTTTATGGAAAGGGTGTGAACTACGGATATGACCAGATGAACTGGACATTTCAGTCTCTAAGATTTGCCTTTTTTCATACCCGAAAGCATTTCATTTAAAGAGGACTGTGCATACGGAAAATGAGGAAATAACCCTTACAATTAGTCAAAACAGAATGTTTGACCTTTAAGAGAGTGACTTGCAAGCTTTAAAGGGTAACTAAAAGTAATAAGTAATGTGCGACTGATATGAAATCGATTGTCAACAACATTTCTCAGGGTCTACGAGGATATCAGAAACAATCGAGGATATCAGAAATAATCGCAGACAAGTTGAATTGACTGTGTGGGGGAGGTGCTGCAGAAGATAAAATGCCATAATCTTAACGGGCTCCTAGATACATGGAAGTCTCTGACGGTCTCAGAAACTGTCAATGGACTCGGGGAGAGAGGGTCTTAAGAAGTTAAAAATTTCATAATGTTTGTAAGACCCAAGCTACCTGGAAGTCTGCAACAATGTTAGAAACAGACATAGACTAGTGCAATGTACTCGGGGTTAAAACTAGTCCAATTTTCCTATATATTTTATTCAAAAGGTAGACATTTTGTTCTTTCGTATTCTACAAACATAATGATAAGTATATAAATAATGTACTGTTTACAATTTTATCTGTAAAATAACTTATTTTAAGCGGACTTTTTCTCGATATATTGGTATAAATTTAGTCTAACCCCTAACAAAAAATTACTATATTAATTTGCTTACATATTTAGTTTCTTAGCGAAGGTTAGACTGAAATACCAAATTCGTCCGATGTATTTTTACTATAATTGAGTTCGACGTTTTTCGGAAAGGGCCGAGAAGTTGCACTCATTATTCAACATTTAACGTCTGCTCTGATTTGTTTGACGATGCGTGTATTGAGTTAATCTTTGTTCTCATAATTTGCATAAATAATTATATATAATCGAATCAAAACGACAAAGAGAACAAAAATGTTGCCAGCAATCATTTATGATTTTTTTTATGGTTATAGCGTCAACAAAAACGTAACAAATTAAGAATTGGTAAGGTTCATACATTTTTATTTCACAATTTCACATGTGATATTAACCAATTATATGTGAGTAATCATGCTGCACGTGGAAGCTGTTGTAGAACTGACCAATCATTGTTAGCTCTGAAGAATTGGGTTGTAACAAGCTGGCAGACGGGGTGACAAACTTGTCGTAGTGCTTTTGAGAAATTCGAGCCGAGAACCATGAATACCTAAAATGAAATGAACAAAATAATTTACATAAATATGCATATACACTTGAACGCAGATCTATCAATTCAAGACTTATTATTCTTACCTTGATACATTGCTTGTTATAAGTATGATATGAATATCAATGTAAGCAGTGCTTATTGGCTATTTAACTTTTAATTTGTTGTTTCTATTATATCAAACTAACCACTTAGGCCAGCGGCTCCCGTTATCATTTCCTACATACCAAAATTCCAAACCAGTGTAAAGTAGTCTATGAAATAACAAGGGTGGCATTCATTGAACCTATCCCCAAATAAACTCAGCAATACAGGACCACCAGCAAAGATCCCAGCAGGACACCAAACAAAATTAGGAAAGGGCACAAAGTCAAAGCACGGATGTGGCGATATTATAACTTATACAACGAAGTAAATCATAGAAACCGACGGACAGAGGGGAGTTAGTTGTGTACCAAACCTCACTCTTTGCCCAACCATGTTTCTGTTACAATAAGAATCCCAGCCAAACCTGTCACATCGATATCATTTCTTAAATTAAGTTTAAGCATTGTTTATTTCAAACAATTAATCAAATAATAATTTACAAGTTAAACTTTACAACACATAATCAGAACCGAAAGTTGATGCTTACATATGTCTTGTAATAGTATTTATTTGCTTTTATTTACGGGACGTTTGTACAAAAAGTGAATGTTGAACAACAGCCAAGCAAACAAACTATGCTGAAACAATACCATTAGCATTGTGCATAAATATGATATTGTTCACAGCTCAATCTTTCAAACATTTTTACAGATATCTTGCTTACTTTATAAGAACTTCGCCAGTTACATGGAACTGTGCAAGTACGACCTTACCAATATGTCAAATGTCAATTGTGTCTGAAAAGTGTTTAATTTTTTACAGACCTGAATACGTAATCTGCAGCCTCCAGCTGTGGCAAGAGGGTCTTCATCAAATGCAGTTGTTTGTATTCATCATGTGTTTGTGGACATGCAAATTCCGTGAGCCAAATTTTCTTGTTGTATCTGTGAAACAGTTGTTGCAAGTACGACATAATTGCATTAGCATCGCAGTTGTACATGTGTGCTGCGAGAAAGTCAATCCTGCAGCCGTGACAAAGCCGGAAAAAATCATCGTACCATTCAAATTGTCCACTAGCAGCAGGACTGACAAGCTTGGCTCCGTGTGAGTTCTTTTCTATCTCTGGCCAGGCATCGGCAGCCTGCTGGGGTGTCATATTGCCATGGGCTTCACGATCTGGCTCGTTGAAGCCTAATACAAACCTTCCCCAGGTTTGGATTGTAAGATTGGTGTGGTTGTTGTATTTCTTCACCATGGGAACATGCTTGGGAACAAGACGATTGGTGCCATTACAGTGCTGTCCTACTTTTTCATGATAGAATGATAAGTCCATACTCCAATCATACCTTTTTAAAATAACAAAAAGATATTTCAGGTACAGATATACAAGTATTCTGGTAAAACTTTTATATTAAGTTTGATTAAGTCTGTTAGTAAGGGGTATGGAAAGTGCAATATTACTTATGTCCTTAGCATTTACCTATGCAGGATAAAATACTTTAAACAAAACGTATAGTAATCACTGATCACTCGCGAAGAGCCAGAAAATATATCATCACTGGGACGAAATACGGCAACACATCTGTGGATGTCTCTTAATTCAAAAAGTACCTTTTCATGTTAAATGTTGAATTCTGCTAAAACCGGTGTTAGTGGACATGAATGGTAGCTTGCACTTTTCAGTATTCTCCATGAACAGGATCAATGAGTTATGCAACATTTTAAATTTGGCTGTTTTAAATGCTCTTAAAGATTTCTGTTTCTCAGTATTTATTTATTTAATGCCCATGAAGTATTGTTAACACTATGAGTTTTACAGAAGTAATAAGAAATACTTTACTTAGGCCTAGCACTTTGCCTCAAAAGTTGAAGTTTTAAATCATTTCTTACCACCACGACATGTTGTTGAGAACTTTGAAGTCATCACACAGCAGGTTTCCTGGATAAGCACATGTTCCTTTCTTGAAGGATCCTTCAATTGTACAAGACAGAGAAACTAAGGCTAACAAAACCCACAGAGCCATGTTGATTTTGACAATGTTAGTTTAAAACAAGCTTTATATTGAAACTCAAATCACTGTGTATAACCTGTATGTAACCTCATTGTACGATTTTGTGCCTTGTGCCACTAGATATAATTAAAATGAAATGTAATTCTTTAATTTATTATATGTTGATATGTTACATGTTCAAGGTAACAAAGAAAATATAATATCAATAAAAGGCCGGGTAGTGACCTATCTGTTTTAGTATTGAATGATTTTTTTTAAAATAAACAGCATTAACTCCTAAACAGAAAATACAAACAACGAAATTTGTTACTTTTAATAAGCTTTTTTATACAGCGTGTTCTGCAGTACATGTTGTACACGTGGGTACGCCATAATATATGTTGAAGATAGGAATATAAGAAAGTTTTGCCGCCAAAATATCTGATTAAGGTTGAAAGACAATGATCGACTTTCCAGGCAAAGCAGTTAATTTTTTGTTAGCTCTTAAAATATCTTATAGAGAAAAACGGAATCCGTTAAGAACGTCCAAAACGACATAATTGAAAATGTTGCAGGCTGGTTGAGTCTGTTCATGGACAATATAGGAAAGTGCAAGTTACCGTCCACGCCCCATAGCTTAAGAAGAAATCAACATTTAACGATTTTGCCACTACATTCATCATATTAAACATATGACCTGTGAATCGCACCATGTTCGCCCATTACTAAGAGGATAATAAACAGTTTTAGAGGACAGATGGAGCCTACTTTAACAGACATAGATTTTTAAGAATAAATTTAGATATAATCAGTGTGAACATTAAGTTGATCGGAGTATAAACAGTGGTTTCGTTATCATTTTATCAGCAGTTAGAACTAGGAGGATTGTAAAATTAATGCACTTCGTTAGATTTTAACCATGGCGGAGGTCAAAAACGACGTCTTGGTGCAAATAACGCTTGTGGTAAATGTTAACAAATTCAGCATGTCCTCATTTTTTCAAAACAAATCTTAAAATGAGATAGATTCCATAGTTACAAAGGTAAGACATCGCCAAGAACGCTAGCTTGCATATAAAACTGTAAGAACATTTAATTAAACGAATGGCCTTTGCGTCGTCAGAGATATTAATGCTTCAAAATATAATACAATTTTCTGTTTGCGAAAAAGTTTTGTCAAGAAACGGGGTGCAATTTTCCACACAAAAAAATCTTGTTATATAATATCCTACAGGAACTTTCTTCCGATTTTATTTAACAATCAACTAGTCAGTGATACACTGAAACATTTTAACAGTATATTTAAAGTCAATAAAAATCAATACTATAACATTTTCTCATATCCAGTATTTTATATTTTGAATTGTATGCTATTCCCTCAACGTTGGTGCTGTGCTGCTAACCTCAGAAAAAAGACGATGTTACGATGGTGTAAAAAAATAATGTTAGATAGCCTCATTTAGAAAGGTAAAGGTCGTCCAAAACCTCAATTTTGAAAATGTTGAAAGATGGATTTTAATTTGAACATCGGTTTAGTCAGACTTCAGCATTTGATCTCAAGACATCCGTTTTAAGGAACATTAACCCTCGACAAAAATGAATAATTTTTAGGGCAGGTTTGTTTAGGACGTTTCTTAATTCAAAGTTTTGCCATTTTCATGTTTAAATGTTGAATTCTGCTTAAGCCGGTGCTAGGGGGAGGGGGCGTGGAAGGTACTTTGAACTTTACAATACATCCATGAACAGACTCAATCAAACCGACCCTGCAACATTTTCAGTTTTGCCATTTTGGACTTTCTTTAGGGATTCTTATTTTCTGTTTTTATAACGTTTAAATAAAAGTTATCGAGCATGTCGGATGCCTTTTACTTGGAGAAAGTTGCTCTTGGTGGGAAATTATTAGTCATTGAAATAGTGAAAGTAAACAAAGTATTATTTATTTTGACTGCAAAAAAAGAACATAGAAGAAATAGATGGTTCAGGTTATAAGCCAATGAGAAACATTTAGGAAACTATAAAAAGACATGAAATATAAAAAGCGTTTGAGAAAATGAAGAAAACAAATCTAGGCATAATGGGCCTTTAATAAAGAATTAAGAAATATTCATATGTCTGCTTGGCCTTTTTGAACATCCCATTGACTGAAGCATTGACACTGCGACGAGTCTTAATATAGAAATGAACTTAAAATGAATCGTTTATCTAAATAGATAAAAGTGCAGACTTCGTTTGAACCCTATAATTGAACTTTATCAAACTGGCCTGACATACATAAATAATGTCTTATCTTTGTAAATATAATAAAGCTGTATGGAGTTTGCAAATCAGGTCGGGATCCTGCTAAGCGATGAACAATTTATAGAAAATGTGTTACTTTTAAAATTGCTGTACTTATTCTAAAGTGCGTCATTTTATATATCATTTTATACGCACAATCAAATCAGCAAAGCATGTGAGTGGTTAGTTTTAGTTTCGCATAACAAAGTTGGTCAATATTTAAAAACATGTCAGTTTGAACAGTTTATTGAAAATGCTGGGCCTCTTAGAGGCATCAGTCACATATACAATAAAATACATGTAATATATGACGGACGGACGGTTCAATTACTATATGCCCGGGGGCATAAAAATAAAAGTGTTACATTATGAAAATAAGCTTAGGTATCAGTTACTTAAATGCTGATATATTTTTTTTTACAGAATACTGCCAGTTTTAACAATATACTCCTATCTGTGCTATTCATTAACATAGAAAACTTGATTGAATTAACATTGATATTATACTCTCTAGTAATATATTTTATTATATAAATCTATCTATGTTATTCACATTTTCAATTCCCCACACTTCGCTACCATATAACAATGTAGGTGCTACCATGCTATCAAATAAATGAATTTGCATACTGATAGGTAGATCCAATTTTCTAGCCTTAACTATAATTGAAAACATAGTCTTTCTTGCCTGTTCTTATAAATGATTCATTGTTTTATCAAATTTACCATTATAAGAGAATATAACACCCAGATATGAAAAATCATCAACAATTTCTAGCAAATTACCTTCAAAACTAAAGGCTGGAATATTACATAAACCTCTTTTACTTTTACAAAAACAACAATTTTAGTCTTATTAGGATTAACTTGTAAATGCCATAATTGACAATAATTTGACATTGCATCTACTGCTTTTTGCAGTTCTTCAGCAGATTCAGCAAATATAGCTGTGTCATCAGCATATAAAAGAATGTACAACTTAAAATACATTTCAACATTAGAATCACTCAGGGTATCATTTACAATGTTTGATAGTAGATCCAGATCATTAAAATGTTGTGACAGAAAATAGTTTAAATCATTTAAAAATAAAGAAAACAATATGGGAGATAAATTTTCACCCTGGCGAACGCCTGTATGACTTGTAAAAAAATCTGACATATGACCAAAAGAATTAAATTTAATACAAGATTTGTCACCAAACCCTCTTTCCATTATAGGGGATTTAAAAATTGAAATAATTGAAATTATCAGTACCTTGCAGTCTTTTATTAAGGAAAGTCATTTATGTCAATGAAAAGTACTGCCATAAAAGAAAATACATCTATTTAAGTAAATTTCGCAACATTCGGTGAATATTCTGAATATTTAGCAATCGGTAAAATTCGATTTTGGTGAATTTTGCAAGTTTCCGTCCCAAAAGAAAATTGTTAAAATGTCAATTATAACCCAAGGAAAATAACATCTCTTCAACATATCGGTGACTTGTTGGAATGTTCCAAATTTAGACGGTCTATTCATAGATAAAATACAAAAATAACAAGCAATTTATTGTTTTAGTTAAAAAATGTTTTGTAATAAACTATTTTTGCAAAACTCCTAATAATCATTTTCGAATCCCCTTCTGCTGGTGTCATTTGAGAAAAATTTGTGTCGACACCCACGAACCCTAGATTTCTTAGTATAAACGTTGATACGTTGAAAAATAAATCAAACAAATACTTAAAATGGTCATTGGGTAAAGTGTCTAAATGCGCATGTTTTGCTGATTGTTTAGAAAATAATGTGATAGTAGAACATGACACTAATTACCAATTGTGTATTTATCCTGATGATACTATACCATGTATAACTTCAAGAATTTATATATTTGACATCCGAAGAAAAATAAAGTCTGTTTCGTTACAATTATGATTGAAAATATGTCTGACTAAATATGCCCAATGATGTACAATTTTATACAAATCCGACTCAATGTCAACAGGTTGGCATTTTGTACTTTCGGTTTCTACAACCATAATAATAAATATATAAATAATGTATTGTTTGCTTTTGTATCTATGAATTTACTTATTTAAGGTGGACTTTTACTTGATATGTTGGGAATAAACTTGTCGACAACTTCCAGCATTAAATTTCTTTTTTTTAACATGTTTAGTTTCTAAGCATAGGTAAGACGGAAAATACCGTATCTGTTCTTTGTATTCATACTATTGTGTTCGAGGTCCTTATCCGAGACTGGCGGAACGGGCCGAAAAGTTTCGATTGGAGGAATTTGTGTCAATTCCAGGCTAAGGTTTTATAATTTTTAGTGCCATCTACTTGTTTAGGTTCTTGGGATTCTGTAGCCTAGTGGTTTATGTTGCAGACTTCAAATCCCTTGCCTCTAACCGATGTGGGTTCGAGTCCCTATCAGGGACTTTGATTCTTTCATTTTTCATGAGAGAAAGCTGTAAAGCAAGTTTACCGTCTTCATATCATTTGCCACACGCCGTTGTTGGTTCGAATATCAGTAAGGTACCGTTGATTTTGTTTTTCGATTGAGGAAGCTATCAAACTAGCTTACCGAAGGTCGATGATTCTTCTCAAGTGTCCTAACGCCAGTGCTGAAATAATGCACCAAAGAGCACTTGTGGTCTTCCTCCACAAGTAAAGCTGGAGACTCACCTTGTAACCTTTATAGTGTTTATGTGACTTTTTGAAATCTAAAACTAGTTTTGGCATAAAAAGGATTTACTGGCATAAAAAGGATTTAACAAGAAATGAACAATGTACAATTATTATGGTATTTAAGTCTTCCATGTTATGATAAATGTCATTCACAACTGATGCTGTACCGATTACGATATACTAGTATATTCGCTTTCGTTATTTGTGGAAATGGAAATGACACGGCAAGTTATTAATTTTGAGAACGTAATTTATACATAATTTTCATTTTTTAATCGCATTTAACGGAAGGTGATTTATACTTAATTATGAATGTATAAGGAACGCAGTGATGACACGTGAATTGTGTATTAATTGTGTATTATAATCAGCGTCCTTCTAAAATCAATATTTGTAAAGATCTGAAATCACAATATAATAAATGGCTTACTCTTGACTCATCGTGAGTTTTATACTTTGGAATAAAACAACTTAAAAACTCACGATTAGTCAAGAGTAAGCCATTTATTATATTTTGATTTCAAGCAATTTTCTAAATGATATGGTTTTTCCATTGGTCAGATAATTCGCTGTTAATGACACGCGTTTTGCGAAAGTATTAATTTTTGGATGTCATTGAATAACTGAGTCAGTTGGATTATTTCATAAATTTCTGCCGCAAAATTTGCAAGAAAAGCGTGCATATTTAACGGATATTATTCATTATTTTAGTGTAAAGCGCAGTTGTGTTAGATTTCTAGTGAATGTGATTAGAAAAAAGAAACATTCTAAAATAGATTGGAAATTACAGGAAGTAACATGTACAATAGAGTAAATTAAAAAACAAAAGTCGCATTGATTATGGATTTTATCAGGATTTTCCTTTAGAATTGGCAGCATGCAGATCAACAATCAAGGTATGTTTTATTCAGCTAGGGATCTTTTTATCAAGCTAATACCCCGGTTCAATCTAGACTTTTACCCTAAAAGCTTCACGGGGCTCTACCGTTCACAATACATTATTATTTCAACACGTAACACACGTAACTGTAGAAGTTTGTTTGTATCCTCGGATTTGCAGGAAAACAGCGAAAAAAACATTCTTAGATCGTGTTGACTAACAAAGCATGTCGCCTTAAACTTTTGTTCGTTTAACATTTATTTTGGGGTATACTATATAATAGCCATTCATGCCTGAATGTAGTGAGGGGCACATGGGGTCCTTCTTCATCAGTGACTTTGAGTAAAGGTGAAACTGTAAAATGTAAATGCGACGTGAAGCCCAACCTAAAATAATCCTCAAATTTTAGGACTTTACCCGAGGTATAATAATCGAAGACAAGAATAAATATATATGAAATGTTTCAACATTTGAATTTTGTACATCACAAGGTGGGGGTTGAATAGAAGCTTTATGCCAAAGGATGTTTTAATTTTTTATTTATTTAAAAAGCTGTAAGTTTTCCGTGCTGTATGACAGTTTCCCAACAATTACCCATAGCTGAGCTTTATTTTGCTACCTTTGTGTCTTGGTGGTAAGTACAGTTGTAGTGGATAAGTATTTTGTCTCCAGATTCATGCTGATTTTCATGTTATTTTTTTTTTTTTTTTTAATGTTTTAGAAATAAAATATTGTAAGTGAACAAAGAAAGTAAAGAACACTTTGTAAACATCACTTGAAATCTACGAAAATAACCGAAAGAAAGTCAGAAAATGCAAAATTAGCCCTTATTGTGTTAGTCATACAGTAAAATTACGTTGATGAAACGCAGTAAAAATATGATTGCGTGTGCTGCAAAATCAGTCATTAATTGCACATATAACGTGCAAATCATTTCTTATTGTTTGTTTGTTTGTTTCATGTTACGCCTTTTCCCAACAGTATTTCAGTCATATAGGCGGGTAGTTTCCTAACCATCGTTCTTGGAGAGTTACACCAGTACTAGACTACCTTCTTCCGCGCTAAACTACCAAAGCATCTCCCGGGGATCGAACCCACGCCAGAGAGTTAACTGGATTAGAAGTCATCGACTCTAACCCCTCGACCACTTTGGCGGTCCAATCATTTCTTAAATTGTTGATAAATTTACTTTTCTATATAAACAAAAAAAAACGCTACTGATGCAACTAATGAACATTGGTATCGCTGAATGTAAAACATTTTCAATTGTGCACATGTACTTTTGTAAATGTCAATAATACATAAATTTTCTTTTTTTAATAAGATATATGTTAATTCAGCAAATAAGGGTGTGTTTAGCGTTCTAACATAAGAAGCAAAGAAAACTGCTAGGGTTAAACGTTTTTTATTTCACAATTTCACATAAATTATCAACCGACTATATGTGAGCTGTGGTATGGCACGTGAAAGCTGTTGTAGAACTGACCAATCATCGTGAGCTCTGACGAATTAGCCTTCAACAAGCTGGCAGACGGGTTGACATATCTGTCGGCATGTTTTGGATGAATTCGGGCCGAAAACCATGAATACCTGAAATAAAGCAATAAACAATATTTTTAATGAATGTACCTTTTAACGTTACCATAATAAAATCAAATAGCACTTAATGCTTCCATAATGAATTTAAATCAACAACTGAACAAATAAAGATTGATCGAGATATATACATCATGTATTTTCCCATGGCCAAATAAAAGAAAGGCCGTGTGTATTTTAATTGTCATCTTCACTGTATAAAATATATCACTTTTTACTAAAGGCGTTTAAAATTGTAATATATACCTGAATACGTAATCTGCAGCCTCCAGTTGTGGCAGAAGGGTCTTCATCAAATGCAGTTGTTTGTTTTCATCATGTGTTTGAGGACATGCGAACTCAGTGAGCCAAATTTTCTTGTTGTACTTGTGGTACAGTTGTTGCAAGTACGACATAATTTCATGAGCATCACACCTGTACATATGTGCCGCGATAAAGTCAATCCTGCAGCCGTGACAAAGCCGGAAAAATTCATCATACCATTTAAAGTTCGGCCCAGCTGTCGTCGGACTGACCAGCTTTGCGCCGTGTGAGTTCTTTTCTATTTCCGGCCAGGCAGCGGCAGCTTCCTGTGGTGTCATATCGGCTTGGTCTGCATGATCTGGCTCGTTGAAGCCCAAGATGAATCTTCCCCAAGTTTGAATTGTAAGTTGTGTATGGTTGTTGAATTTCTTCACCATGGGAATATGCTTGTGCACAAGGTGAGGCGTACTATTACAGTGTTGTCCAACTTTGTCATGATAGAATGACAGGTCCATGTGCCAATCATACCTTTAGAAAATAAACAAGATATGTAACTGTATGGTGTTAAGATAATGGCCCCAAATGAAGGATCAAATAAAGAGAATTTGAAAATAAGTCACTCATGATCATTTATAAAGGAATTTTCACTCTTCACGCCATTTCTTGCGTAATAGAATTATTCTTTAGGCACATTTTGTTTCCGCAAAAACGCCATTCGTATGAAAAACGCGGAATATTTTTCCGCAAAAGTTTATGGGAATACAGTAAATGTTCAAAGTCCCTAGCAAAGGATTATGCAATGTTCAATCTTCAAAACCAAATCAGTGGTCGCCTTTAACCGAAACATATAACAAAGCTTGGAAGAAATACTGAGCAAGAATTTTAAACAAAAAATTATCTTACAAAAAGACATTTGACCGGGTCAAATCCTGGTTTCAGGGTTTATTTTCGATAATCATCTTACTCTGTGATTTTTGGAAATGGCATGAGAGACGAAATATCTTTCCGGCAAATACTGGGAAGAGGGTGGCGAAAAGTCCGTAAATTTACCGGAAGTCAAAGTGAATAAAAACAGTATACGGCCGAAAAAATAGCTAAGCACTGAAGACTCGTTTTAAATAACCTTGCAAGCAATGCATTGTTTTTGTAAGTCGAATACCGGTAGTTTTGCTATGTTTTGTGAAAATCTCATTATGCAGAACACCTGCATATTTCCAACATTTCGACAAACGATTTATTAATTCATGCTATCAATAATATAAAAACAGTTTGTATCAATACAGATGCCAGTAAAGAACTCGAATACCGAGTTTCCTTTTCTTTAATCGCCATTTTTATAACAAGCCAATGAATCTTATTGCGTTAGCATTTATATTCAGATTAATAAATGATCGTAATGATCAGTGATGTGGTTATTTGTATACGCATCGTACAATAAAACTAGAAAGTAATTGCTAATAATACTCGTATTGATCAATCCCGTATTTTGTTTTAAGAATGTCATTACGAATTCTACCATCAATGCATGAAACCTTTCTGAAACTTCTGAAACTTCTAAGCAGGTGGCCGGAATCGGAAGAAACTGAACCAGTGACCATGAAGTATCGGAATAGGTTAGTGCATCTAGCAATATTAAACATACACTGCTATGCGCCGAAAAGCAAATAATTTCTTACCACCATGACATGTTGTTCAGAACATTGAAGTCATCGCACAACAGATTCCCTGGATAAGCACATGTTCCTTTCTTGAAGGACCCTTCTACTGTACAAGACAAGGACAGCGCGGCTAACAATATCCACAGAGCCATGCTAACGATTACAGTGCTAGATAAAAACAAATCAAATTTATAAGTCCCAGAAACCTGGCTCTTAATTCACTGTGTATAACCTGTAAATAAGCAAATGAAATGTCAACTGTTACGGGGAAGCCAAAGACCGTGACCGGAAAGCTATAGACTACACATGTATATTTAAAAGGAAATCAAATTAAAAAAAAACAATTAAAGAATATATAGAATTCTATATTTATCACTGAAATTTTCAGTGTCAGTTCTAGTTGGGCGCCCCCATTTTCAATGTAACTCAATGATAATAGGCAGGGTATTCCGATAACGGAACAATCGCAACTTTTCGGATTAATAATAATCACCAAGCGCTCTGAGTGAAAACGGAAGCGGTGCATGAAATACCGAATAACACATTTAAAACGGAAAAATGAACGATTTTGTAACCAACTTCTCCGTTCATATGCTTTACCTAATTTCATATTATGATAAGCTGTTTCATACACTGTTCCTGCTCGGCGCCCAACTGGTTACCATATACATGCACGACTGGATACTGTCGGGGTCTAACATTTCAGTATTGAATTGAAATGCAATATTTTTGCGTGTTTGACCTTATGAATAATTTCCGATCGAAGGAGGAAAACTACATGTATTAACCTTCTGCATTTTGCAATTTTCGTGGAATGTCACAATTTAGAGTTCCGACGGAAGCTCCATGATCTTAAAATATCTAGAACGAACATTTGACTTTTGACTTGTCTCAGTCTGATTAAAATCAGCTCTAACTAACGCTCCGCTTCTAGATCTGACCGTGACTCAATACTAAATTATTTCTGGTGACGTTTCACACAGCCAATCATCGGCGAGCTTTCATAATTTTGAAAGCGATGTGGTTTGAAAGCGATGTGGTTTCTAATTTTAACCCTGGGAAAGAAAATCAATACTGAGGAGGTAATTTTCACGATTTCCAGAACAAACATGGAGCCGTCCATATAGCCGACAGGTAAACAAAAATAAAAAATGTCTTTAACTTCCACGGGTTACGGTTTTTTTATTCTTCTAATACCTCGGTTTGATTGCATGGCTAAAAATAGCTTTCTCGGAAAATCAAATTTATAAATATGGCAAAACATATACGGCCGTCCTCAGATCTACAAAAAAGAAATAAGAAGACCTGAACTTCTGTCAGATTGAACTTGTCTCGGTGTTCAGACAAGGCTAAACAATTTACAGCTGCGCTCGGTCCCTTACCTTTGTTCATCATTGCTACTTTATTTTCACTCAAAAATGGCCATGGAATTTAATATAAGCTAAGCGCAAGAATTGATAATATCTGACAACTATACTTGCAGAGTATACACAATGAATTCGTTATCTTCTTCATCCACATGAGCAGCTCTTTATTAGTGAAACAAGAAGTATCTTTAAAAAAGATACTCAGCCGAAGTCAAACTTGTTAATTTGCATAGGATAAGCTACCACTAACCATGATAACCACAAACACATCATTTTATTCGTCCTCAATAGTATTATTTCAGTTCATTTTTACCGCAATGTTTTTCCCATTAATTGTCATCTAAGATTTTAACTATATTACTTACATTATTTGATTTTAATCAAAATGGAATTTGATTTGAATAGGAACTGATAGTAAAACAATTAGTAGATAGTGTACACTAATTCCACGGAGAATTTTGCAACTGTAAATTAGGTAGTTTCATTCGTCTTATGCCCGGTTCGAGAAGAGAATATAATGATCAGAACAGCTTAGAAGAGAAACCATATCGAACGCAAAAAGTATCAAAAAGGCGATCTGTCATATTTTATTTCATATATTTATTGAAAAGCTGTTAGAAACATGTAGAAAATATCATTATTGTGTTTTTATATTTATTCTTACTTTTATCTTCTTCCAACACTTCTTGCCATCGAGCAATCGAACAGTTTGAAAGAACTCTACCTATAACGGAAGCTCTTCTAAAGTATAAATCGAACAGGCCATTAGTGTTCAAATGACCAATGAAACTTTTTGTCTATATTCATTTCTTTACTGTTAATTTTAGCGGAAGTCAATGTGAAATCAGACGGCCTTCGGCCAATAACCCTGTACTACACTTCCATGTACAATTCTACATGTTCATTTCCGTAAATCCATAGCATCTTTTTGGCCCTGATTGTCAAACTTTGGATAATAACTGACGTTAATGATGTAAAATTTAGTCCATCGATATGTTTGACTTTTAAAGTAAATGTAATTTTTGACCAGCCAATTGTCAATGCGACACAATATGCGACCTGAATATAGAAGTGCACTTAAAATTTGTTTCAATTAAAATTGCGGTCAGTAAAAGGTTATCTTGTATCTACCGTTGTCTTATCATGTATATAAGTGTCTAATCGTATACATTTGTATTAAGAATAAATTGCATAAATATTTTTGAAAATCGTGACCTGTCGTGAAATGACTACAATATGGACTGCATATTAATTGTTGTGCCCCCACTTTAGGGGAAGGGGGCATTTAGATTTACCCTTGTACGTCCGTCCGTTCTCATTTTGTGTCGCACGTAGCTCAAAAAGTATTTGACCTAGAGTCGTGAAACCTTACAGGAATATTGCTAAGCATGAGAAGTTTGACACCTAGGTAATTTCGAGTGGATGAATCTAGTATTTTAGAGTGATTGCCCTTGATTTAGTAAAAATTTGCAATTTTCAACTTGTGTCGCATGTAGCTCAAAAAGTATTTGACCTAGGGTCATGAAACTTTACAGGAATGTTCATCAGCATGTGTAGTTGTGCACCTTGGCATTTTCGAGCGGATATATATTTAGTATTTTTAGAGTAATTGCCTTTGACTTAGTAAAAATTTGAAATTTTCATCTTGTGTCGCACGTAACTCAAAAAGTATTTGACCAACCTTTAAAAGTTCAAAAACGGGGTTATCTGGGTTTTTTATCCGACATCGTAAAAGAAAACACTTACATATACTATAAAGCTATATTCTTACAGTATCGTTGGTGTATTACCGTTATGGCTCTGCCGGTAGATCAAAGTAATTGTAACTTTTAGTGTTTTGTACTCATAGGTTCGAACCCCACGCAGTGCCATTTTATAACCACAGTTTTTTCTTCTTGCTCTGTTTTTTATTATTATTATTTACTGATTTTTCGTTTTCCTTTTTCTTTTTGTTTTCTTCTTATTATATATATTTTATAGTATATGTTTATTTTTATTTTTCTATTCTTTTTTCTTTTTGTAATTTTTGATCGCAGTGAAATAAAATATTAGATTTCATATTCATGTATGTATATGAAAAAAAACCGGTCAAACTTGTTTTCTGAACAATTTACTGTTCTGAGGTAAAAATGTGTCTTACCAGTAGTCGAACTCCTGCCTGCACGGGTTAAACACATTACTGACCAGGGTTGCTCTACCTACTGCGCTAATAAGACATATGATAACATGCATTTTTATTTTCATTTTTATAGGTTGTGGCATTGATCTGCCTAACCTATTTTTTGCATTGTTATTGGTCTTTGTTATGTAAACAACGGCTCAAGTTATCATCCTAGGACAATAATTGAGTCAGTTGAATTATGTCAAACCTTTCTGCCGCAAAATTTGCAAGAAAAGCGTGAAAGCATGCATAATTAACGGGTATTTGCACGTGGCCTACACGTTTTAGCCGGATATTATTCACTATTTTAGTGTAAAGCGTAGTTGTGTTGGATTACTTGTGAATGTGATTAGAAATAAAAAAATTCTAAAATAGGTTGGAATTTACATGATATAAGTAACATGTAATAGAGTGATTTTATCAGGATTTTCCTTTAGAAGTGACAGCATGCAGATCAACAAACAGATTAAGGTCAGTTTTATTCAGCTATGGATCTTTTTATCAAGCTAATTAATACCCCGGTTCAATCAAGAAAAAAACTTTACAAGTAAACAAGTAAAAAACTTTACATCACAAGGTGGTGGTTGAATAGAAGCTTTATGCCAAAAGATGCTTTAATTTTTTATTTAAAAAGCTGTACATTTTCGGTGTTTTGGGACAGTTTTCCAACAATTACCCATAGCTGAGCTTTATTTTGTACTTTTGTGTATTGGTGATAAGTAGTCCAATATATTAGATGTTACAGGCTTGTTATAGTTTTATGTCGGCCTGACGTCTAATAAACGCATAGCATTTAAAAAAATATAAAAAATGTATATTGTCTTACCTTCCAAGCTTTACAACAGCTAATCTTCTTTTCTTTCAATTTCATGCTCAATCATTAACAAAAACTCTTAAACAATGTACTCATCAATTAAAAATAAAATATAAATTTCAATTAAGGTTTGCCTATCGGCAATACTGGTTAAGTAAAGCGCTTTACAAATTTTTGATCGGAAAAATATATTCGAACACGCTGACGGTGCATGGGCAATTATTTCGTTAAAAATATTCCGTTAGAAACTTCTGGCTCATTTAAACGCTTGCATTTGAATTAGCCAATCAGATTTCGCGCATTTGTTTATCGGCTGTATAAGGAATTGAATTAAATGAGAGGTTTTAATGCATGAACTTGTTTCGGTTTGGAACGTTTATTTTATTTTTGGTAAAAGGTATATATTGTTTAGTTTGGTTCCCATGAAATAAGGTTCGCAAATTAATGGGGTAAATACACGCTGTCCTTAAATTGGTTTTATTGCATTCGATCTTAATCGTTTGTCTAATGTTCAAATTTGTTTGCAAGTGGATGCTGTTTAAGCTAACGTAACAGGAAAATGATAAAATGTAAAATATGCAAGATTAAATGATGGATAAATATGAAATAGGTTAAGTTAGGGGTTTTTATAAATTAAAAGGAAGCTAGGTGATAAGGGTACAGTTGAGTGGATAAAGTATTTTGTCTCCAGATTCATGCTAATTTGCATATTTTTTTTTTACTAAAAATAAAATATTGTCAAGTCAACAAAGAAAGTAATGTACACATTGTAAATACAAAAGTAACCAAAAGTAGGTCAGAAAATTCAAAATAAGCCCTTACTTGTATTTTTTTTCTT